ATGGTACTAGCAAATGCTGCTGTTTTTACATACTCATCCAGAAAGAGGGAATTCTGGAAAGTGACTCAATGTAAGCAGTTGGTTTTCCTTAGGTAAAACACTTCTAAATAATCTTTCTGTATGCTTTGAATGAACTCTGTAAAGTGCCTTGTGATGACATGTTTTGAGAATTGGCGCTATATAAATGAACCAAATTGAATTACGTTGAACTTAATTCAAATAGCATAGTAAAAAGGTAATTTAACAATAAATAAATAATCTATTGAAAACAAAACAAGAAATTAAGCAAGGTGTTCTTAAGCAAAGTTGAACAGTGTGTCAGGATGCAAAAACAAAGATATGCAACTTAACCCTCTAACTTGGTTGGTTTAAGTCACCAGTAAACCAAGAAATGTGGGTTTTTAGCCTGTGGGAGGAAAACAGGATGTTTGGAAAATATCAGTGCATGTTATGATCTGGTTAACCAGTTGAAGACCAAAGCCCAAATCACTTTGTAATCAGTGAGACATACTACAAAAAGCCAGGTTGGATTTTTCTCTAGGATGTATCAGATCTTTCTGCAATGGAGATCTATCCTTAAACCAAAACCAGCAAAAATACATGATAATGTTAGACCTTATGTGCTGTCAGAAGGAAGATGATTTACTGAGAAACACAGAGCCAATACACATGCTGAGAAATTAGTTAAGAGGAGCAGGATAACACCACAGGCTGCAACTATGCAATGCCATTTTACTGACTTCTTAATAGCTTAATGAGGTATATATGGTGCACTATCATAGCCTGATTATCCACAACAAAATGCCTTTTGGACCACATCTAATTCAATAATCCAGACAAAGAGTATTATTTATTCAGGTTTGCAGTATAATTTTTCTGAACATATTTAGATGTATATATAATAACCCTATTTGACTGATTTAAGGTTGTACAGTTCACTTACCCAAATCTTATCTAATGCATTATGAGATTTTCCATTCCAGGTTGCATTATCTTTAAAAGGACGCCACAAAATAAGAAGAGCAGTACATTTAAAAAAAAAAGAAAAAGCCCTCAAACATTCAGCTGTTTCTGTACCTTTAAAAAAGTGATCTCATCAGCTTTCTGCCTGACTTGGAATAAAAAAAAAAAAAAAACTACCTCCCTTATATGGACAAGAGAATTAAGAAGTCATGCACTCCTCACCACCGCTCTGAGCATTCACTGAGTTTGAGCAAACAAAGCTTCCACTAAATCTAACAGAATTTAACATATTTTACATATTTCTTTGCCTACTGACCTAGCGTTCTTCCTCTCTCCACTAAAAAATAAAAGGGTTTCATGGAGATCTGGTTTCATGATGACTTAGACTGATCTCCTAGAGATGACAAGCAAACAGATAATATTAAGCTCAGTGTTAAGCTGCACAATTGGACAGCAGTGTTACAGTTGAAGAATACAACTTAGCCTTGGAGTCCTGATTATGGCCCAGTGTTTTGCAAGACCCTCTTACAAGACTGAGTGCAGAATTGTTTTACTTTCAGTCTTGATCCCCACTTAGTTATTCTTGTTTTACTTCTAAACCATGTTTATGTGTTGCTTTAGAGATCCTACTACTTGTAAAAAGACTGTTTTCTAAGGAGAAACATGAACATACTATCTAGAACCACAAAAAAAGTCAAAGTAAAGTCAGAAACAAACTTCCTGATTCAGTTATTTCATGTTCGACTATCAGTAAAATACAATCCCTTCTTGCTTTTAGGGTCTCTGTGGCTTCTCTTTCAGCTGGAGCTTTGATGTTGCAAGGAATGTAGCTCAGTGAAAACATTTACATCTTCAGTATTTTGACGACGAGTTGATGAGTGATCCATGCAGCCTGCCTTACAATACCATATATAGAGCCACACGAGCTCCTCAGAAAGAAACACACTTAATTTCACCACTGTGGCTGGACTGTAGTCTTTGACAGCAAATGGTAACATGATTTAGTGGTTTTACACTAGAGCCACATCCATCAATACTCCCCTCCAAATGAACATGCTATTGTACACCAATAGGCAGATTGGTAGGCAATCGTGCGTCTACTGAGACACAGAGCATGCTTCTCCTTGAAACATTGACATGTGACAGGAGGATGCTAAAACCAAACCACGTTTTCTGATATAAATTGGAAGAAAACCATTTTTTTCAATCCTCTTGAATTACAGGCTGCAAAATGTATACCATTAATTGTTTTACGAGATGACTTGAGTTCAAAAAGGTCCTGAGTCTCGGTATAATTCGTTTGTATTGTAAAGCACCTTACTGTGTGTAAAACAACTGACAGATCTACAAAAGGATTTGCCCTGAACTTTAATTGCAGTTAGGCATTTGATTATGGTATCAAGCTTAATCAAAACCAAATGTTTTAAAGCTATATTTTTTTGGCCTCCTGTTCCCAGAGTTAAAAATCCTTTTAATGAGACGATAGGGAGAATGGCTGACTTGCTGGACAGTTTTCCAACTGTACATGGAGTATTGGAAGAATGCAGATATTTATATATATTGCTGCACACTGCTGATCAGTTGGCTGAAAAAGGTTTGATACTTTTTTGTCATGATAGCAAGAAATACTAATTAAGCCCTTTGCTGACATTTTCATTCATAAAAAAAACACAAGAGGTGAAACAAAAATATAGGTTAGGTATAACAAGAGTGTTTGATTTTCCTTTACACTGTTCCATTTATGTTTGAGTGTTCCAAATGAGATGCCAGAAAAAGAAATTAAGTAATCGACTGTGTTGTTAAACAAAATTTAGAATAGAAAAGTTTCACTTTTTGTTCAGCTGTTTGATTGGAACCGAAAGTTTAGTGAACTGTGGATTCTAAATTGTGGTATGTGATAGGAAGGTGTTTAGAGGGTTTTCTTTCCTTTTTTTAGTTCTGGTTTGAAAACATCAAATAATTTCTATCATTATGTTTTTATGGTTAAAAGTAATTTTAAGGATTCCTACAAGGACTTTTTTGTGGCTGTTTAAAGCATAGATCAGTGCAACACTGCTGCCCCTCCCCTACTAATAACTGTACACTGCCTGTCAGGTGGCTGATGTTTCCCTGCCTTATAAGACTTTTTGGAAATACTTCCAGCATCTCAAAAAAGGAATACTTCCAGTATAATTCCATAAACCCGAGTAACCAAGATTTTTTTTAAATTATTTTTTGTTTTATGCTTTTGGAAAAACCACATGCAGGACATTTTTCTTCTTTTCTTTCGGGTTTTTATATAAAAGCCATTATCATGCAAGACATTTCTATATTAGATCTTTGTATTCATATCATAAAACTGTGTTTTTGCTTTATTTACTTAGTTTTATCGTACTATGATACTCTTGGATCATACATAACCTATGTTTCTCTTAATAACCTCATTTTTAATCATTTAACTGGACCTTTTTCAAAAAGTTTAACGTTCACCTTTATCCCCTTTAGTTGACCATCTGATTTAAGATATAACTCGCACAGTTTCTTGCCCAGGTTAAAACAAATCCCTTATTTTTCTTGCAGAAGTCCCTGCAAACCCATGAAAACCTCACACTGTCCTGAGCCTCGTACTCTCTTTTTGGCCTTGACCATATAAGGATGCTGAGGAATCTCTCACCAAAACACTGCCAACGCAAAAAAAAAAAAGTCAGTCGAGAAAAAAGGTGTTTTACCATATCAGGGATTTTAGAAGTAAATGATAAAAATATTTCCTGAATCTGGATCTTAAACTGATACCCTATAAGAAAGTGATATGAAAAACTAAACAAAACAGAATAAGGAGATACCTGGGAAACGAGTAAAGGTCTGTAAATGTCCCCCTCTCCCTCTTTTAGGGTGAATCCCCACGGTGCGCCTCCACGCAGGGTCAGGCAGACGTAGTCCCCGGTGCCCATGCTGCGCTCAGCCCCTCAGCCAGACTACAAGTAGTCCTCAACAATAACCGCATCCATCGGAGCGCTGCGTAATCCCACACCCTCCCACCCATTTGATCAATTTGAGTCCGCCCGCTTTTTGGAAACGTCATCACGCACAGACCTGCAGCGGGCGGTGCGTGCAACTGGTGGCTTCACAATCATCAATTAGAGTGAAGAATACAGAATATTTATATAAAAAAAATAATAATAAGAAAAGTTTTCAAAGCATCTCAAATGCTTTTGGTTTATAATCTGTTTGTTGGCTTTACCACTCTGACCAAAGAGGCCTACTGTCTCCAAAATGTTTGGAAAATTTTTTTCCAGCTGCTCAGGTTGCTAAGGAAGAGGATTAGGGCCACTGAAAATATAAAAAAAGTTAACAGATTTTTAAATTTTAAATTTTTTCTGTATAATATAAGAAAAAAAGTAGAAATTCTAATTCTCTTTCTCAGAATTCTGACTTTAATCTCAGAGTTCTGACTTTTTTTTCCTTAGAATTCTGACTTTAATCTCAGAATTCTGACTTTAATCTCAGAATTCTGACTTTAATCTCAATATTCAGACTTTTTTCCATTCTGACTTTTTTCTCAGAATTCTGAGATTAAAGTCAGAATTCTGAGAAAAAAGTCAGAATGGAAAAAAGTCTGAATATTGAGATTAAAGTCAGAATTCTGAGATTAAAGTCAGAATTCTGGAAAAGCACTGGTATGAGAACATGGCTACGAGATTGGAGCCACAATTTGTAAACCTTTATTAAGGTGATGAAACGCATTATAACCCTTATTGACTGTGCTGACGTGTATGGATTCCCTCTGTTTCACGCATGCGCACTGCTCGTTCAGTTAAGCTAGCTCAAACCGCTTCACACAAAAATGAAAGTGAAACGGTTACCCTTTCAAAATAAAATACAACATTTAGTTATTAACCAGATATTATAGTCTAAAGACGCTTTAGGAAGTTTCTTAAGATATAAACATTGTATTTAGGACAGATAGAGTCTGTATATCTAGCATAGTGTTTTTATGTTAGCTTTATTCATATCGGGCCAAACGGTTTATACACCTTTATTTGCTTTACTTTGAAAAGCTTTCACTGCCCGTAAAGATGGCTGATTTGTCGTGACCCAGTGCACTGTGGAGTTTGACGTGGCACTCCGGTTTTCTACGAGAAGAAGAGGAGCTTAACTGTCTCGCTGTTCAGGTAAAGAACCCTAAGCAGGGATGATGACACCTTTACAAACGAACTGAAATATATTTCCTCCTTCAGGTAATGATTTATTTGAAGCTCTGTTTCACAGCTGGAAACTTTGCAGCGCTTTCCTTTTACTCACAGAGAGAAATTAGTATAAAGTAATATAATGTCACGGTTTTATTAGAACGTTTATTAACGTAGGTTTAAGAAAATACGGAAATGATAACAAATTTTCAAACAGCAGATCTGGAAAGTTGCGTTTTAATTCATAAATAGCTGTAACGCTTTTCTTTTAGCATCATAACGGACTTTGACGTGGCAATTTTCGGAAGTTGCGCAGTTACTTAATAAGCCTTGAAGTCCAAACCACTAAATTGTCAACATTTGCAAGTTAAGCAGGGCAAAACGTCTCACAATAATCGATTTCCGGTGTTTGATAAAATTGGATGACACACAGCTGTGGCTTAATGATCCAGCTGTGCCCAGTGTTCTTGTTTTAATAAGTTAAATTAGTTGTTTGTTTTTTGATTCACTCAGTTTTTGTGTGTGTGTAAATATATACTTTAGGATACTTTTAAATTTTGATTTTTTTTTTTTAAAAAGCAGAAGGTTGGATGTAATGTTTATTGTTATTATCCTTTAATAAAAGAGTTATAAGACACATAACTTTTTTTTAAAGTAACAATTACATTTTTGCAGTTTCAAACTGCAGGTAATATTGCAATTGCTCAACTTATGCAATGTGAAACAGTTTTTTGTTGTTTTTATTTTTAAAGAAACGCTTTTTTATGCTCCTCAAGCAGGGGCGTAGCCAGAATTTTTTATAAGGGTGGCCAGGCAATAATCAATGTACACTGAGGGGTGGCCCAAAGCGGATCGGCACCAGAACTTCACGGTCAATCTACACTGTTTCAACAGGAACATTGTCATCCATATTTTCTTAACAAAGACAAACTATACTTTACTACAGCCTTTGCTAACAAATAGATGCATATATTTAAACATTCGTAATTTCTAGATAAATGGTATAGTTGATAAAATTCTTTCAGTTTTGAGTTCTGGGGCATAAATCTTTTCCATTGTCATTATTTACCTACTTCTATCAATAAACATTCTGCCTAAAAGTGATATTAACAAGAACTAATATCTGCATAAATATTATGCATATGCATATTTGATAAGTTTTTATTAAAACTGTTATTTATCTTTAATTTCACTGAAGACTCCTAGATGACTTGCAGATGCACAGCATTTTCTCTTTACCCCATATAACACAGAATCTAGCTTTGAAAAGAGCATGAATTCTGTAGTTATCATTTTTGATGTTAGTATATTGATGTGTATATTTACCCACAAAAAAAATGTTTTGAATATTCCACCTAAGAGTATTACGGTTGCCACCATCAGTATTAGAGGGAAAAATGGTAGGGATGGCCACAGATTGGCTAAGGGTGGCCATGGCCACCCCTGGCCCCCCATCTCCGCCACTGTCCTCAAGGCAAAGTATGTTGGAAGAAGGAGGCTACAATAGTTTGCCAACTCATACATACACTGCTGTTTTGCATTCTTATTAGAGTCCTGTCATTCCAGTATCATTGGGTGAAGATGGTCAAAGAGTTGTTTTAAAAAGGTCAATGGCCACACCCAGGTTTTATTAATGACTTACCGGCAAAATTAAGATTTCACTTAAACAGAAGCTGCTTGACTGCACAAAGTAGGCAAAACAATGTCATATAACAATAACAACATACTGTTATGGTCCTATATAAAAATAAATAAATAAAACAACAAAGAAAACCATTTCAAAGCTTGCATATTAGCTGGAAACAAGGTGAGAGACACACTGAGGACTACATCATCTAAAAGTTTAAATTTAATTTAACAGCATTTTAATATCTGAAATACCCAAGTTAAAATGTCTAGAATTAGTCAGATATGACTGGTGCATAAAAGAGTTGATAAACTTCACTGATTCGAGCTAATCGGTTGAATTTAAGCTTTTAAAGTGTGGTGTTTCGTAGATGAAAATGTCCAACTCATGCAACATTGCTTTATCTGTTAGAAAGTAAAGTCGAAGGTCTCTCCCACAGCATTGATAACAGAATGAGGTCAAATCTCAGCTGACTTTTGTGTTGCTTGTTTACATCTGTTTTAAACTGAATACAACAATAAATGAACCACGAAACAGGGAACTACAAGCACAGCTATGTAAGTACTGTTTTATTATACTTTTTCATTCATTTGATGAGCTTTATGTTTCTCCATTTTAGCTTGATTAACATTCCCAACTGGTATGAGCAGAGAGTGACAGACAGAATGAGCCAACAGGGTTACGTAGCTGCACCCCCGTATTCCCAGGCCCAGCCGGGAATGGGGAGCTACCAAGGTGGGTTTGGAGCTGCCCCTGCCCAGCCCCTCTATGGACACTATGGAGGACCACCTCAGGCATTTAGTTCTCCACCAGCAGGTACAGTCATGTTATTTTTCAAATCTGAACAAATGTTATTTTCGGTTGGTTATCTTGTTTTTTTGTTTTTCACACAGTGTGCAGGTTTTGCAGATATTTTTACATTCACTTTGAATGTCAAGATTTAGCATTTTCCTAAATTGTTTGTGGAAACTCCCATTTATTTATGATCATCATTGAAAAAAACAGAATCTTCAAAATCATCAAAAACTTAATAATGAATTGAAACGAATTATCCCTTTTACAACAAGCTATTTTCACAATGTTTTTGCATCCGGTGTTTATATATTTTATAGCATGTTATTTATTTTGCTGATAAGCATTATATGTATATATATATGTATCCAAACAATAGTATCCAAACTCCTTGCACATTTTTATAATAGCCTTAAACTCTTTGTTTCATTGAATACCAACAGAAAATGATGGATAATTATGAAAAATGGGGAATCAAATAATGCCTGGTTTTTAATTTTAGTTTTAAAAAGAAAAATCTGGCAAGTATCAGCAACCATATGTGATTTCATCTCAGTAAAAATCCATCAGTTCTGTAAAAGCCTCAGAGGTTTTTTAGAGAACATTATTGAACAAACAGCTTCATGAATTTCAATAAACAAAATAATCTAGATAGTTGTGAAAATTCAGGTAATAAAATATTTATTTAGGTTCATTTAGTTATAGTGATGATAACTGTAGGATTTGTTGTGCACTTGATAAATTAGGCATTTAGTGAAGGTTTATGGGAAGTTAGACTTAAAAAGACATTTTAAAATGTGTCATAAGTCATATAGATGACAACAGCAAACATGAAGATTGGAGTTTGTTCATGGGGTAACAATGTACTTGGTTTTAAAGCACAATGGATATTAAATGCACAACAATCCGTGTATCATTCGTTCTTTCTATTTTCAATTGCCAATCAAAAAACAAAAAATAAAAAATTGACTGGTTATTTTGTTTTTTGTTTTTTATGGTTAAACCAAAAACGAAAAAAGGATTTGTTTTTCATATATCAATTCTAAGCTCAGATCAAGAATACGAAATGGAAAAACGGACAGCGACGCATAATTTGATTTTAATATTTAATCGGTACAGTTTACGTGACCCGGAAATAGCTCTTAGCGCAGCAGTTGGGGTAATGAAGTGGCTACCATGGCGACGCTAGAACCATACACTATGTTGATCGAGAAGCTGTTTGTTGTTGCTAGTTAAAAGTACAGTGCACAGAAAAGTTTCAAGACAAAAGTTATACCTGGAAAATCCTGCTGATTTTCTCCGTTGTCATATCCTCCTCCTTAAGAGTCACACGCTTGGATCCTCGAAATAACACGTAACTGTCCATGGCTGATAGGTCCGACTGCCTTATCTGGTGCAGCTTGATCGAACGTGGTGGGGGTAAGCCAATTGTTTTTTTAGCTAACGCTCCACCAAACTTCCGGGTCACGTAAACTGTACCGATTAAATATTAAAATCAAATTATGCGTTGCTGTCCGTTTTTCCATTTCGTATTCTTGATCTGAGCTTAAAATTGATATATGAAAAACAAATCCTTTTTTCGTTTTTGGTTTAACCATAAAGAACAAAAAACAAAATAACCAGTCAATTTTTTATTTTTTGTTTTTTGATTGACAATTGAAAATAGAAAGAACGAATGATACACGGATTCACAACATACTTTAAGATTCCGTATTTACCTTTTGACAAAGTTTTGAAAACCCGCCCACTTCCCAGTGATGCACTACCTTGTGTTGGTCTATCACATAAAATCCCCGATTAAATACGTTTAGATTTATAGTTGTAATTTGACAAAACATATAGAAGTTAAATGCATATAATTTACAGAGTGTAATATTTAGAACCATTTAGGTTTATACCTCATTGTTTAGGACAGCTACAAAAGATCAGATTATATTTCTGCAACTGCACACATCAAATGTCGCTTGCGTCTGGTTGCTAAGCAGTTTTGCTGGTATGCTTCTGCAATGTCGGTATGAAATTTCTAGGGATGCACAGCTGTTTCCCGCACAAGAGCAAGGGGGAGCCTATTCGAGAACCCGCTTCCAAAACAATAATGGCGCATTTGCAAGACATCACGGTCACGGAGATGGATCTAAAGTTGCTAGACATCGAAGAGGAACAGGTTCTGAGCTAACCTTCTCGATTAACCTTTCAATGTAGTTGTCCATCGTACTTGTTCCTCGGTTTTTAAAAATGGCGCACCCCGGCACCAAATCGAGAAGGACGACCACACAGACAGCTGGAAATCATACCAAGAACCAATCACAGCTGCTTTTTGTCTGCCCACTTGAGGTCTGTGTGGGTTTGCGACCGTCCCGACGCGTAGTCAGGATTTTTTTGAGGTGTGCGACAACGGTTTCAGAGCATCTGGGCGGGGGGGCATGGTCGCGGTCACAGAGACAGATTTGACGGTTACAGAGGCTATGCGTCAGAAGCATAAATTGGCCATAATGCTTAAAGCTATAATTGGTCTTGCCTAACACTGATTTTATTCATCTTAGTCAGCCAGGATGCACTCTAATCTCGGGTCTGAACACAGTCAGTGATTCATACCTGGATTTTCTCTGGATTTCAGTTGTAATAGTCTATACTTTGGTTTCTTCAGTGTTTGCTCTCTCATCTGCAGCTGGTTTAAACCAAAACGGTCCGACTTCTGGCTTCTATCTACCACAGACTTTATTTTTACAGGAATTCAAAGATTAGGTTATCTTTATCTTCAAACTGTTAAATAAACGGAAAGCTTCTTATGTATCAGATTATCTGACTTTTGTATACTCCCTTTCAGGAAGTATACACCTGTTTGTTTTTTTCTGTTGGTTCATAAATGTATTCTTTCTATATGCTAAATGTATATAATGTTTATAAGTTTATATTTTTATGAAGTCCTCTTGTTAAACATCCTTTCAACTTGCTATGTCCACCCTCAAATCACTCAATGAACCTACTCTGCATTCTTCCTCTTTTCTTTGTCATTCCCAGCACCAAATTTAAATTCTTTAATCAAATACATATCCAAATATCTAAGCCTTGTTCCCTCTAATTTTGACAATATGCAATTATTTAATGCATATCTAAAGAAGAATGTCTGCTATCGTTGCAGGTGTAATGAAATCACCAGCTTCCTCCCCTGGAGGAATGCCACCGCCTCCTGTATCCAGTCAGTACAATCCCAATGTGCAGCAGAATGGAGCTCACCCACAGAGGTAACGTCCACGAGGCAGCAGCTGCTTGAAAAGTGGAATTCAGTAAAACCATTACAAAGAGGGTAGCGATAATAAAAAAAAAAAAACTGTCATGCAACATGAAGGCTCTTCAGTGCAAATACTTAAAATATTATTGTACAGATAAATTGTTCTTTGATCTGTTGCTTTGGAGAAGTAGAATAACCCACCTGACCACTTGGATTGGATTTATATGTACAGGCTTGCCTCTCCATCAGCTGCACCCCCAACTTATGGCCAGCCTTCGCAGTCTGTGTACAACAGCATGGCCTCACCTGCACCACCTCCAGCACAGCAGCTAACTAATCAGATGAGTGCTATGAACCTAGGTGGCTATGGTAAGGTTGTTAGTTACTAATGCTTAATTGTTGTAGTCTGTTTAAACCTTAAAGGACAAGGATTTAAAAAAAAAAAACAATACTCATTTTTGATACTTAGTATTTCTTAATTCTATGATTAAATTGCATAGCCCCAGGTGCCATGCAGAGCCCCCCACCTCCTGCAACAAGCTCCATCGCCCAGCAGCGTTTCCAGACACCACCAGCAGCAACGGGTCACCCGCAGATGCATTCTGCCCCACTGTCATCACACATGGCCCCTCCGATTTCCCCACCACAGTCACCCATTACGAACATGCAGGGATCAGGACCACCAATGGGGGGACAGTCAATGACAGGACCACCAATGGGAGGACAGTCAATGACAGGACCACTGATGGGGGGACACTCAATGACAGGACCACCGATGGGAGGACAGTCAATGGGAGGACCACCGATGGGAGGACAGTCAATGGGAGGACCACCAATGGGCGGACAGTCAATGGCAGGACCACCAATGGGAGGACAGTCAATGGCAGGACCACCAATGGGAGGACAGTCAATGGCAGGACCACCAATGGGCGGACAGTCAATGGCAGGACCACCAATGGGAGGACAGTCAATGGCAGGACCACCAATGGGAGGACAGTCAATGGCAGGACCACCAATGGGTGGACCAGGATCTTTCCAGCAGCCTGGTAGTGGACCCGCTGGTCTAGAAGGCTACCCACAGCAGGCAGGTAAGTAGCGAGCAATAAATTCCACGACAGATTTTCTATTGTTTTAAATTCTGTATTATAAAAAATCACTAAATTTAGGATATTTATTTATCTTAATACCAGAGTTTATGATCGATTCAAGGCAGTTTAAGGAGCCATCTCCAGTTTTCCCCTCTTAGATCCTCAAATCCCTTTGAATAACCTTCTCTTTAGTACGGAGGTCTTCAACAGGGGGTCCGTGACCCCTAGGGGGTCCACGGAGGTACTGCATGGGCGTCGCAAAAGTTTTGGTTGATTAGACTTTTTTTTTTTATTCCTCCCCTGCAATTTTTTCCACTAATTGAAATGTCTTTAAATACACATTAAGATGAATTCAAAACACTGTAGTAAACAGATAAATGAAAGCAGAAGATTTCTTTCAGTCATCAATGCACTAATTTAGCGACACACAGGGGCTCTTTCAAGCTGGGCACTGTTTCATTCACAACACCTGTCCCATCAACCAGGAATCAGAATCAGAAATACTTTAATAATCCCAGGGCGAAATTACTTTCGTTGCATTACTCCATCTGTAATAGAGTGACTATAGGACCAGTTTGATATAACACTATTTCATACAATATATCTACTTAGGGGGTTAGATGACAATAAGATAGATGATAGATAAAATAATGTAATCATCCCAGTATTGATTTATATATGAGTTTATGGAATGATGTCAGATATTTCTTGTTATAGCTCTGTGTGAAAAGGGCTGAAATTTAGTGGGATCTGCTTCCAACAAAGATGAAACATAAAAGGGGAATAAAATAATCAGAAGTGTTTAGTTGTAGCCTGTTTTATAACACTGTGCTTATTATGCATTTAATATGTGCACAGGTCAGTTTGGAGGACTCATGTCTGGGCCTCAGCCAGGCATGCAAGGGGGCTTTCCTGGAGCACCAGGAGGACTTTCTGGTCCCCCTCAGAAAAAACTGGACCCTGATTCTATACCCAGCATAGTGAGTATCTGTAGACTGTATAATATATACTAAACATGGTTTATAAGCCATATTTTTCGGCCATAATTTCTGCTGCAATTTTTATTCTAACCCAAATGCAAAAAACACATCTTTTTTATTGTAAAGGATTACTGGAAAAGCTTTTTAATCTCTAACTTGTTTGTTTTAGACCCAAGTTATTGAAGATGACAAAGCCAGGCTGGGAGGACAGGTCTACAGCACAAACATCAGAGGACAGGTCCCGCCGCTCGTCACCACAGATTTCACAGTTCAGGATCAAGGTAACAAATATGGCCAATCTGTAATAATCCGAGATAAATATTCAGATTGCTGGTTTGTATTTTATTGATTGATCGATCAATAATATTCTTAATCTTAAGTCAAATCCTTGTTTTTATAATTTGAAATTCACTTACGTGTGTTTTAATAAATCAGAATCCACCAGAACTTTGGAGCTTTAGACCCAATAATGCTATTATTGCAGTGAGTGAACGCTAATGAGTGATCTCACACCATAAAAGTATTTTTTTTGTTATTAGAATATAAGAAATAAAATATGTTGGTTTGTTGTTTTTGTGGAGTATTTTCCATTTAAATGTAACCTTCATGTAACCTTTGGTTAGAGTTTAGGATTTCTTAAATTTAAAAAAAAATAAACTTAAAAGAATATAAGATTCAACTTTCTTAATTATATATATAAAAAAAAACATTGTATATAGTGAGTATGTATAGAAATTGAAAAGCTCTCTGCTTTCAAAAAATTAAGGTACATTTCTTTCCAAATAGATCAAAAATAGTTCATGATGCTGTTGTCCTACTTTTGTTAAACGTAATGTGGCCAAAACTGAGAGCCTCTGCAATTTGAAAAAAAAAAAAAAATTTAAATCCTCATCATATTGAAGAACAAGTTAATTGCCCAGCCCACTTCTGATTAAATAAACCTTTTTGATAAGGGATAAGTTTGTAATACTGAGGGATTGGTAAAATGAAATTTAGAGCTAAACGAATGATTATTTTTCAAATCGATTATTGGGTTGATAATTTTTTTTGATTAATCGATTGATTGGATTGCCAAAGAATCCTTAAAGAAGAATTTTTACGAAATTAAACCAGGTGAAACTCAAACTGTTCCACTTGAGGAGTTCTGGATAGAGCATATTGACGGACGAAAAAGTGTTTTTCATCTTAAGTCCAAAATGTTTAAAATTATTTTACGATTTTGGTATAATTACTGCTCTAAGTTGGTTGCTCTGTCAGCTAAAGAGGTGTTTGAGAGTCTCTATACTCCAGTTAATGATTAATCAATTACTAAATTAGTGGACAATTATTTCAATAATTGATTATTCACGATTAATCCGATTAATTGTTTCAGCCGTAATGGAATTCCTTTCAAGTGCCTGCATAATTAGCTACTGTACCCCTTTTTGAACACAATAAATAATTTCCAAGTGGAACAGCAGTTTTTGTCATTTTGAGGTAATGTTTGATGTAATATTACAGTTTATGAAAAATACTGAATGTTGTTTTGTTGACTTTAGGGAACGCCAGTCCAAGATTTATGCGCTGCACGACCTACACCCTGCCCTGCACCGCTGAGCTGGCCAAACAATGCCAAGTGCCTCTAGCCTCCATCATTAAACCATTTGCTAAGATGCCCAAAAATGAGGTAAGCTACCGTCTTATTCAGACCATCAACTAGAATAGGAAGATAAAGTTACAACTAACGAAAAACCAAAATAAAAATCTCCTGCTTGTCACTTCTAATGCCTTTGATTAAATGAAAATGTTTTGATCTTGGTCAAGCATTACTCAAACAGTAAACACTTTTCTTGGACATTCTTTTTTTTGTTTGAAATGTTCTTCTCCATTAGAACAGTTGCTGATGAGATCCAAAGGGAAAAAGGAAAAAAAAAACTTTTGTGGGATTACTGCATTAGCTCTAAATTATACAGTCTCTCCTCAAAGATGTTATTCTCTCCTCAATCAGTTTCACTTTTAAGGAACATTTAGATCAGCAAAGCTGTCTTTCTGCTTAAGTGATCACATAGAGCTTGGAATTTGGTTTTATTTAAATGCAATTGAATCTATCATTGTTCTGTGCTAGTTTGTCCTGTAAGTAACCTCTTCTTAAATAATTATTGGAAGAAGAGATGTTTTTCCCCTGCACTCACTCTGTCCCAGCCACTTCATGGCCTTTTTAGGAAATGTTAGCTTTCCCTCATCTGGCTTCTAGACTGTTCACTTAGTGTTAGACCTGCCAGGGCAACCAAACAACAAAGGTGGTTTAAAAAAAAAAAATCACATGGGATGAGATTAAATATCCTCCTATGGGGCATGAGTGTGACATCATGTAACTAGCACTAATCTGTGAATCTAGAAACATCTCTAAATACTGAACACTTTTTCTTGTCTCATTTTTCAAGTAGCAAGTAATCTTATTTAAAGCAGCTTTAGTTTCTCTTTTTCAGAGAGCCTTTAGTTAAACTTGATGGTCGCCGTGACGATGGTGGTGTGCTCTAGTTTAAAGTAGGGTTAGATTATAAAAACAGCATTTACACTCAACCTGCGGAAAAGGGAAACTGGATGGAAGAAAATATTTGTTTATTCCAGAAATCTAGCATTTATAAAAGGCTAAGTCATTAATGAAAAGAAGATGTAGGAAGTCCTGTTTGCATATAGATGACTCAGCAAATGTGAAATAAAATGTTCTTATCCAATGTCACCAAAATTAAACTGGGAAAAAATTTTTTACTTGGATTTCACATTGAACCAATGGTTAAACATGGTGGTGGCTGCATCATAACCATCAAAGCCAGAGAACGGCACAAGAAGGAGGTTCTAAAAAGAAACTCTATAGTTTACGCCTATCATATTTCTTTATGTGAAAACATTTGAAAATGTTGTCAGTCAATTTTACAGTACTGTGTTAAAAACAAAAAAAGTTTTCTTTGTAAAATTATACTGAGGATTTTGTGGTGTCATAAAACATAGACGATGTGGGCTTTAAATTCATTGAAGCACCTTTTACCAACTTAAAACAAACGCTTTTTCTGCGTCTGCCCTCTGTTCAGGCTCCTCTGTATGTTGCCAATCACGGTGAGACAGGCCCGATCCGCTGCAATCGATGTAAGGCCTACATGTGCCCCTACATGCAGTTCATCGATGGAGGCCGTCGCTATCAGTGCACTTTCTGCAACTGTGTCAACGAAGGTATGATGTGATGAGATGGAACTATAGATATTAGAATGAGACAATAGTAGAAAAATAAAGTTGTTTCCTTTCCCTCCTCAAGTGCCAGCCTTCTACTTCCAACATCTGGACCACATGGGCCGCAGGGTTGACTTCTACGAGCGGCCTGAGCTCTCCCTGGGATCCTATGAGTTTGTTGCCACACTTGATTATTGCAAGGTACACAACAACAAACAAATCTATCTGTCTGCTGTTTTTCAGCACACAGACAAACAAAAGATCAGTTGACGTCAGAAAAAACACCTGAATTCATCAGCGGTTTCCGGTTCATTGCTGATTTTAGGCAGTGATTAGTAAACACTATAGTCAGATTAATTTATAGGACATTTAATACTGTAAGCGAAACTTTCCAGAGACTGTGTTATTAATTATACTGATTAGTCTGACTATAACAGATAGTTGGGGAGGGGGTTAAGCTCACTAATCAGAAGGCGGTGGGGAGACAAATGATCTGTGTCCCCATGACGACTGCTACTAAGGAAAACAACATGAAAGGCTTCAAGTTAGCTGGCTAAGCTGAGTCACTGCGCTGATCTATTTTCACTTTGTTTACAGCAAATGAAAAACAGCCATGACAGCTAAATCTGTCAAACACAGATACAAATCTAGAGGTTTTTGCCAGACTAAAACAAAATGATGATGTTGACTTTTCTGTACAAATGAAAATCTGTACATTCTGACATCCACATATGTTCAGCTTCCTTTGACTGTCCCCCTTATCGAGGTTATTATCATTAACCAAAACTAATGAAACAGCAGAAACTAGAATTGAAAAAAACATTTTTCTTACCTGGAATAAAAATAATAAAACTAGACCTTGCCAAAAAAAACAAAAAAAAAAACAAAAAAAAGCTAACTGAAATTGAAAGACGAGTTTTAAAAATTAAAAAATATCACTGAATTTTAAGAGAGAAACTGCTAGTTTTTTGTTTTTTTCTTTATCGTTTTGCCAGTGCATGGCAGGTATAGCAGTCAGGTGCTGCAGTCTGTCCTTTTATTCCCTTAAATTATTCATTTACTTTTTTTTGTCTTGGCCATTGTATCTAAGTTGTATTATATTAAAGACTAAAGCTAATAAAAACTAAACTGAAACTAAGAATTTTCAAAATTCAAAACTAAGCTAATATCTAACAAATACTGAAAAATATTTAAAACTGAAATAGAACCGAAAACCAGAACTCAAAACTAAATAAAAATGAAAGCAAATTATAATTTCAACATTATTTAAACCTTGATGCAGAGTGCTTGCCTCTAGAACATTTAAAAGTCCCCTAATAATTAAACAGATTATAAATCAATGTGCATTTCTTCTCATAATATGCAAACTAGTAGATTGCTACAGTGAGATGTTGTGCTGATCCACCTGCAGCTGCAGTGGTGGGCGGTGCCTGCTGCGCCCCAGCAGAGCAATGCTGCGTTTCATTTGGTGGAAAAACAAAACACTCTGCCCATCAATCGATTCGGCTTGTTAAAACAGCCGTGTGGGAATCCTTCCCAATTTGGTTATCTCAGCCCTGCTTTCAAAGCTGGCTTTCTGTCTGCTGGCTGGGCCGAAGCACCGGTGTTTACCTTTCAGGTCGATGACAGCGTCGGAAGGATGCAGGGTTCACTTTTTTACAGTGCTTTTCTTACATATATGTGCTACACTGAATATAAGGCCAGTGGTAAAAAGAAACAGTTTGAAAGCAGGGCAACGGTTCACCTTTTAACAAGGCAGTGTCTTTGTCTATCATTTTGATCAAGATAAAACACTTCAAGTCTGTTTTTGTAATGTGGAAATAAAGTATAAATCAGCAAATCACTGTATGATCAAGGAAAATCAGATCAAATCAATGTGTAACGATTATATTATTTACAAATACCAGTTTTCAACTTGAAGAATAGTCAGATTTGGAATGTTTTAAGTTTCAAACATGCATGTATTTTAATTCATGTATTTTCCTCCTGCTTCATGAACATGTTCATGAAGCAGGAGGAAATCATTTTTAAATGAGCTGTTGAGCTTTTCATCTCTATATTAAGAAAAAAATAAATCAAACAATTTTTTTTTCTTTTTCCAGAACAACAAGCCTCCCCATCCTCCAGCCTACATCTTTATGATTGACGTGTCCTACACCAACATCAAAAGCGGACTGGTCAAACTGATATGTGATGAACTCAAGACTCTGCTGGAAAAGCTGCCCAGGTACACACCTTAATAATACAAAATTATTTGGTTTATTCTCAGTCTAACATAGCAGGCTAATAATAATAATTACTAATAATTGAATCCAAATTGCAATTATTTTCAACCCAAATTGTGATTTATTTATTTTTTTCCACTTTTATCGTTATTGTTTTTGACAATAAAAGATACAATGCACAAAACCAAACAAAGTGAACACTCGTCGAAACCCAAGACAGCAACAGGTTGTCATGATAGAAAAGTCAGACAGTTTCCGAGGCCAATTTGTCTTTAAATTGAGCTTTTTTCAATCACATTGGGGAAATTTACATCTGCATTTAACCCATCCCCTTGGGGAGCAGTGGGTTACCAACATGGGGCGCCCGGGAAGCAGTGTGGGGTTAAGGGTCTTGCTCAGAGAGCCAGAGTTGCAGTCTGTGGGAGTGGGACTTGAACTCAGAACCTCAGGATTCCAAGCTCTATGCCCTAACCACTAGGCCGCAATTGCCCTAAGATTCATCAGCGAAAACAAAACCTGCTTCTCTGAGAAACATCAACTTAACAGGTTGTTCTCAGAGTCAAGTGAATTTCAAATTTCCTAGATGTCGAGTTGTCACTATCAGTGAAACCATAAACGGCAGATCTTTTTGAGTGGGAAGAAAAGACCGCCTTCAGTAGGAGGGGAAAGAGACGCTTTGATTTATCTTTGCACTTCTCCAGGTTACTCCTTAAATGCTTCTTAAGGTGCAGCAACAACATTCGCTGCTTGGATGCTTACAGAAAGATATTGTAGATAAGAGTTTGTTTAGTTTGAAATACTTCATGATGAATTTATTTAAGATACTTTGTGGATGAAAAGCAAACATGTCTTTTTTTTATTTCATGGTTTGAGCAAAGAACTAAAGATCAGCTCCCCTGAAAAAGTGTTTCTTTTTTTTTTTTGCAGAGTAGGTTTGGTCATAGTTTTTCAAGCTCAAAACATTGCAATTTCTTTATCATTACACACTTCTCACTTTATCTGAGTATTTTTATTTGATTCTTCTTATTGTTCTGAAATGGATTTTAGTGAATTTAGTTCAGTCTCCTCTGTAGGCTCATGATAACTAGAATAGAGAGATAGAGAGGTTATTTTTTCCTGAGTAGGTTCATCACAAATATCCACTCAGATGAAGACAAACATTAACAAACAAACCCATCTTGAATCATACTCCAGTCCCGCTGGATGTTTATACTCGCCTGTTTGACTTGGATGGTCCTTTTGTTAAACAAAACGATGGTTGACGGTAAAGCCGGACCCAAGGTTAAGCCAGGTTATTTTCTGTTTCACGTCACGCAGCTTTAAATCAGAGGTTTTCAAAGTCAGATTTACTAAGAATCCTCACTTGTAATTTAACATTTAGGTCATGAGTCATTTCAAGTTTAAGGTAATTTATTGGACCTTGTTCTTTCCAGTGTTGGAAGATTATACATCACACAGCTGTAGTGAATAAAAAAAAAAAATAATTCAGCACAAAGGTCTGAGGTTACTCAGGATCCATTTCTGTAACTTCTCAGTGATTGCTATTTGGTTAAGTACATACGTACATAAAAAACAAACCTTTTTAGATATCTTCAAGCTTCTGATAGATTAATTACTGGAAAGTTTTCTTCTCCAGGCAAAAAACATTTTCCCTGTTTATATCCCAGTTTAGGAAATCTAGAAATGCACACAAATGAAAAAGATTTAAGGAAGATGAGTTCTGTTGAAAAACATAATCAGTACACCATAGCTGTAATGCACCTTTAGTGTCTCCATACATGATGTGTGTTTTACCATGGAAGCCTTTATTTAAATGTTTTTTAGCCGTTTTATCCGACCAGCTGCAAATTTTTGTCAAGCTTGAAGGTGACAGTTTTGGAGCCTGGGTTTCTCTCATCCTGGGGCATTGACTCTATTTTGGAGACGGACATCATATTTTTAACCAGGATTATTTATATTGGAGTCTGTATCCATATTTTATATTGATTATTTGGCTGATCCTAAAAATTGACTAAAGTTGCATGTCAAGTGAATTTCCACCCTGACTAAAGAGCAGAACAATAAATCCCAGAAATCAAGGATTTTCTAATCAGAATTGTAGTTTTGTTTTATACATTAAGAGAACAGGATATAGGTAAGTAAATGTATTTATTTTTCTCTTTATGGGAAAAAAATACTCTTAATAACCCTGACAACTAATCCATCTAACAATACAGTCAGTAATTTTGTTTGTAAATAATTTTTTTTCACTCATTTACTGCAGCTAATCTGAAAATGGTTGAGACCTAGTTCCTGTCTAAAAGGTCTTACATGTGATTTTTTTTATTATTATTTTTTTCTTTCAGGGAGGACGGAGCAGAGACCTCTGCAATAAAAGTGGGCTTTGTTACTTATAACAAGGTGCTTCACTTCTATAATGTGAAGAGCGCTCTGGCCCAGCCCCAGATGATGGTGGTGTCAGACACAGCAGAGATGTTCGTCCCACTACTCGATGGCTTCCTCGTTAATTACCAGGACTCCAGGGCCGTTATCTACAAGTAGGAATCATCCTTTATCTGAAAAACGAGTAGGAGACGTGTGTTATTGTCGTATCTATGGTCTGCAAATTATTTTGTAGAAACTGAGCTGGTGGAAAACTGACTTGTTGCTCTAAAGGACAGCCTGTAATCTTTGCTCTCTTCTCTTCAGCCTCCTGGATCAGATCCCTGACATGTTTGCTGACACCAACGAGAGCGAAACGGTCTTTGCTCCTGTCATCCAGGCTGGAGTGGAAGCATTTAAGGTTAGCATCAGTCAGACATCTGTCAGCATGAAGGGGGACATACTGTAGCCACACTTCCTGTCCTTTCATGTTACAAACACAGCTTTGGGTTTTATTTACACTGGAATGTGTGTTTATGTGTAAAAATTAAGTGCTCAGGTTTGCTCCTATCTGACCAGATTTCTGTCAGAAAACAGAGCTCTGTTTCATTTTTTATCACCTAAACCTGTTGGTGGTAAATTACAGGCAGACAGATTCCATTCACTGTGGCTGGCTAGAATTAGAAAAAAAGGGTCTGCATACAAACACAAGCTGAACTTGATAAGGTCTAAAATATGTAAGACATTTAAGGGATACCAGTATGTTTTCATTGCTTTGTATACAGTTACTTTAGTTGAGTTTAGGTAGAGCTAACAGGCTGTTTGTTTCTTGGTGGAAGATCAGGGTTCACAGTTATCTGTCATTCTGAAGCAACGCAGCAGAACTAGATTATTTAATTGTCCGTTTGCCCAATTCAGGATTCTTTGAACGTATTTTGTGTTAGAAAACAATGAGAATCTGTAAACATATGATCTATTGTCATCCCTCCAGGCAGCAGAATGCAGTGGGAAGCTCTTCATCTTCCATTCGTCTATGCCCACTGCTGAGGCTCCTGGCAAACTGAAGAACAGAGACGACAAAAAGCTGGTCAACACTGACAAGGAGAAAGTGAGCTGCCTTCTTTTCTATTCACTTAAATGTCCTAGATATTGCTTTGAATTGTTTGCTTTAAACTCTGTTTATGATCTGATATTGACAATGACTTACCAAACATTTCTGTTTCCATACATAGACTCTGTTCCAACCACAGAAAGGAGTGTATGAGCAGCTATCAAAAGACTGTGTGGCACAAGGATGCTGCGTGGATCTCTTCCTCTTCCCCAGCCAGTACCTAGACCTGGCCACCATGGGAGACGTGCCTTCACACACCGGAGGCTCCATCTACAAATACAACAATTTTCAGGTAAAGATTTCAGCCCAGCCTCTTGTCAGTGTTGGCAAATGCGTTTTCAAAACACAGATCACAACCCTGAGGTTTGTGTTAGAGGTCATTCTGTTTACAGTTTATGTGCTAATTTATACTGCAGAACTAGAACCAGTTTGGAAACAGCTGAAATTAAAACTCACTTAAAGAATTATATACTTTTTGCTCTATGCTCTAGTTAAACATCATTTAACTAGAGGACTAAATTTAACACTAAATCTGATTGTTTCATCTTTACTACATAGTTTGATCATGACATGTTTTATAAAAACTAAATTATTTTGGAATGTAAAAATATTCCAGAAATATGACCTAATTATGCAAAAAAAGTATCCACAACTCAGTAGGACAGAAAACTCAAACATAAAAAGGGTTGTAACAGGGACCCCTTTTGAAGGCAATAAGCTACAACCCAGTCTCATGGGAAAATGTACCCCCACTACGTTGGTCCACACTGCAAAACGTAGTGGAGGTACATTAATGCCCATTTTTTTGTGGTACTGTTACGTTTCTTCTGCCTATACGCTTTCTATTGTTTTACGTCCTAGTCACGTGACTTTCAAGATTCCAGCTGGGAGAAGAAAAAAAATATATATATGGCCGACATTCGCTCATTTTTTTGTGGAAAGATTAATGACTTGAGTTTGTTTTTGCATTAAAATGAGTTTTGATTACATTTCTAGTGAGAAATGTATAGTTTGTTGCCAGAATATTTACTCAGGGAATGTACATATTCACTTGCTTGTTCGTTTCTTGCAAAGATTTTTCAAGATAATGTGAAACTGTAACATTTTGGTATAAACATGGCTGAGATTTCTCTAACTTTTAGTGGGAAAATCAATAATTTCAATCAGTTTCTGCATTTAAATGGGTTTTGATTACATTTATAGCGAGAAGTGTAGGGTTTATTTACATAATATTTACTTAGTGAACATACATAATCACCCGCTTGCTAGTTTTTGCTACGGTTTTTCGGATCTCGTCAGGATTATGTGAAATTGCAACGTTTTGGCTGCTACCCATCGCCTAGCATTTAGCTGCCGCCCCGATTCAACATTGAATCCTTTGTGATTTAACTCCATCTGACGGATCAAACCCTCGCCACTGCGTGCGTTGCGTCTGAGGTTGATTTTCAGATCAATGCATTACGTCGTGGCATACGGGAGAAACTAATTAAACTAGTTAAAAAAAGGATCATGGGTTAAGATCGGATGTGTTTTATTTGGAAATCTACCGGATCCTTTGTGCAATTAACTTCCTGTTTGGTGCGATCTCATTGATGGGTTTTGACCAGATTTTGACCAAAGAGGAACTAAAAAAAAGCAAAACAATTTAAATACACAACCAGCATATCTGGAATCAATGACAGAGAGCATACATAATCACCCGCTTGCTAGTTTTTGCTGCGGTTTTTCGGATCTTGTCAGGATTATGTGAAATTGCAACGTTTTGGCTGCTACCCATCGCCTAGCATTTAGCTGCCGCCCCGATTCAACATTGAATCCTTTGTGATTTAACTCCATCTGACGGATCAAACCCTCGCCACTGCGTGCGTTGCGTCTGAGGTTGATTTTCAGATCAATGCATTACGTCGTGGCATACGGGAGAAACTAATTAAACTAGTTTAAAAAAAGGATCATGGGTTAAGATCGGATGTGTTTTATTTGGAAATCTACCGGATCCTTTGTGCAATTAACTTCCTGTTTGGTGCGATCTCATTGATGGATTTTGACCAGATTTTGACCAAAGAGGAACTAAAAAAAAAACAAAAAAACAATTTAAATACACAACCAGCATATCTGGAATCAGTGACAGAGAGCGACTGGGACCAGAAGTTTATTAATTTCTCCCCACTGATTTCCATTCAAAATGTTTTCGATCCCACCGGGCTCTAGGGAAGGGGCGGGCATACCGCCACCTACTGTTCATGAGTGTGTAGCAACATTGTTTTACATCTATTAAATTCTATTTTTTAATTTTGTATTCTGAAGATAAATAAATAATGCTTTCCTTAATCTATAAATATCTTTTATATTTCCTTTATTTCCCAATAATCCTTTAAGACTCCATTCTTGGCCTGTCCTCTTTTCAATTTCTTCCTTTCAGGTTCATATGTTTTGCAGTTCATCAATACGTGTTCTATATTTTCTATCTCTCCACATCCTTCACATTTATCATTATTTTTCCTCCCTATTAAGTATAAATTGTCATTTAAATAAGTATGACCTACTCTTAATCTGATCATTATTATTTCTTCCCTTCGGTTTCTCTCATTAATATTTCTATTTAAAACTGACTTTTGTACTTTATATAACCTTCTTCCTTTTTTATCTTCATTCCACCTTTTTTGCCATTTTTCAATTTCTTTCCTCTTAATAAATGATTTTCCTTCCCCTTTCCCTAAAGGAATTGTAATTGTTATTGCCTCCTCTAATTGCTAATTTGTCTACTACTACTACATTTTCCCACTTTGACCTTTTAAGGTTAGCATATTGACCAAAAGCTGACACCAAAAATAAAGCAATCGATTATTTCCAACAATATGCTACATTTAATGAAGACTAATACAGATTTTACTCTCTTATAAGAATTAGTTTCAGGTTTTATAGGGGAGAGTTTGTATCGGCAGTCATCTGGGAATCTTTTATGTATTTTCTGGTAAAGAACAACCTCTCAACCCATTTAATGTAAATGTTGCGTCGAACCAGAAAGTTATTTGAAGAGCATAGATGCATAAATATATGCATAGCTTTAACAAGGGCCTCATGAAGGTCTGTTCTGTTATTCTCTTTTGGAGAATATAGACATCGTGGGCATTCATTTCCCTGATAAGCTGGTGAAGATTCTTAGACATCCAGGTCATAATCATTCCAAAAAAAAAAAAAAAAAAAAAAAAAAAACTTTGGACTTTGTTTTTCAAGTTTGAAGACTTCCCATTCAAAATTACAGTAGCCCAACAAATCCTTGTTTTGGCTAAGAAAATATGCAAATTGAACCTGATGCCTGATCCCAATAGCTTGACTCTGAACCGAATTTGATCCCTATTACTTTTTGGCCACATGCACATTATTGTGCTGCCTGGTCAACCCTAAGAAAATGTTCTGGAACTGCCACTGAACTGACACCCAATGCATGGAGGGTAACCCAAAAAGGGCCATTGTTAGAGAAACTGGGTGCCTACAAAGTGCTGTTTTCAAGCTAATTAATCGAAAGTTAGCTGGAATGAAAAGTAGACAAATAACTACCCATAGCAAAACATATGAACCTGAAAGGAAGAAATTGAAAAGAGGACAGGCCAAGAATGGAGTCTTAAAGGATTATTGGGAAATAAAGGAAATATAAAAGATATTTATAGATTAAGGAAAGCATTATTTATTTATCTTCAGAATACAAAATTAAAAAATAGAATTTAATAGATGTAAAACAATGTTGCTACACACTCATGAACAGTAGGTGGCGGTATGCACGCCCCTTCCCTAGAGCCCGGTGGGATCGAAAACATTTTGAATGGAAATCAGTGGGGAGAAATTAATAAACTTTTGGTCCCAGTCGCTCTCTGTCATTGATTCCAGATATGCTGGTTGTGTATTCAAATTGGTTTTTTTTTTTTTAGTTCCTCTTTGGTCAAAATCTGGTCAAAACCCATCAATGAGATCGCACCAAACAGGAAGTTAATTGCACAAAGGATCCGGTAGATTTCCAAATAAAACACATCCGATCTTAACCCATGATCCTTTTTTTTTAACTAGTTTAATTAGTTTCTCCCGTATGCCACGACGTAATGCATTGATCTGAAAATCAACCTCAGACGCAACGCACGCAGTGGCGAGGGTTTGATCCGTCAGATGGAGTTAAATCACAAAGAATTCAATGTTGAATCGGGGCGGCAGCTAAATGCTAGGCGATGGGTAGCAGCCAAAACGTTGCAATTTCACATAATCCTGACGAGATCCGAAAAACGTAGCAAAAACTAGCAAGCGGGTGATTATGTATGCTCTCTGTCATTGATTCCAGATATGCTGGTTGTGTATTTAAATTGTTTTTTTTTTAGTTCCTCTTTGGTCAAAATCTGGTCAAAACCCATCAATGAGATCGCACCAAACAGGAAGTTAAATGCACAAAGGATCCGGTAGATTTCCAAATAAAACACATCCGATCTTAACCCATGATCCTTTTTTTAACTAGTTTAATTAGTTTCTCCCGTATGCCACGACGTAATGCATTGATCTGAAAATCAACCTCAGACGCAACGCACGCAGTGGCGAGGGTTTGATCCGTCAGATGGAGTTAAATCACAAAGAATTCAATGTTGAATCGGGGCGGCAGCTAAATGCTAGGCGATGGGTAGCAGCCAAAACGTTGCAATTTCACATAATCCTGACGAGATCCGAAAAACGTAGCAAAAACTAGCAAGCGGGTGATTATGTATGTTCACTAAGTAAATATTATGTAAATAAACCCTACACTTCTCGCTATAAATGTAATCAAAACCCATTTAAATGCAGAAACTGATTGAAATTATTGATTTTCCCACTAAAAGTTAGAGAAATCTCAGCCATGTTTATACCAAAATGTTACAGTTTCACATTATCTTGAAAAATCTTTGCAAGAAACGAACAAGCAAGTGAATATGTACATTCCCTGAGTAAATATTCTGGCAACAAACTATACATTTCTCACTAGAAATGTAATCAAAACTCATTTTAATGCAAAAACAAACTCAAGTTATTAATCTTTCCACAAAAAATGAGCGAATGTCGGCCATCTATATATATTTTTTTCTTCTCCCAGCTGGAATCTTGAAAGTCACGTGACTAGGACGTAAAACAATAGAAAGCGTATAGGCAGAAGAAACGTAACAGTACCACAAAAAAATGGCCATTAATGTACCTCCACTACGTTTTGCAGTGTGGACCAACGTAGTGGGGGTACATTTTCCCATGAGACTGGGTTGGCTAGTGTGTGTATCACTGAAATTCTCCCCTACATCTTCAGTTGCCCTCTAGTGGTAAGTGTGATTACAGTGCGATTAATAATTAAGACCTTGCAGCTAACTCTATTCAATCAATCTAACCTAGAGGTTAGACTGTAGTTCTCACACCTGCTGCCGCTGCCCTGCATATTTTAGATGTCTCTCTGCTGCAGCTCTCCTGATTCAAACAAGTGCATGACTTCCTTAGCAGCCTTCAAGTGCTGTAGAGGTCTGTTAATTGTTACATTATAGAAGTCAGGTGTACGGCAGTGAAGATGAATCTAAAACATGCAGGGCAGTGGTACTTGAGGACCAGGATTCAGAACCACTGGGTTAGACTAATTGTATATACGAATTGTAAATAAAACCAAATAGTGACAGTGGTGCCATCTGCTGGCAGGTGGAGACAGATGGAGAGCATTTCCTCAGAGACTTGAGGAAGGATGTACAGAAGAGCCTTGGATTTGATGCCGTAATGAGAGTTCGTACCAGTACAGGTAAAAAATAAACAAAAATAAAAAAATTATTATGTGTGGTGTTTTTCTCCAGAGCTCCATATGACGTTCTGTATGTGATTTTAATTTTTCCCCCAGGCTTCAGAGCTACAGACTTCTTTGGTGGCGTTTACATGAACAACACCACAGACGTAGAAATGGCAGCTGTGGACTGTGATAAGGCTGTGACAGTGGAGTTCAAGCACGATGACACTCTCAGCGAGGAGACGGGAGCTCTTATACAAGTACGCATTTAAGAAGCGACACCTGCTGAATACGCTGACATGGTTGTAGAAAACTTGTAATTGTTCTGTTTCCCAGTGTGCCTTGTTGTACACCACCATCAGCGGGCAGCGACGCCTCCGCATCCACAACCTCAGCCTGAACTGCACCTCGCAGCTGTCTGAGCTGTACAAGAGCTGCGAGACCGATTCACTCATCAACTTCTTTGCCAAATCAGGTCAGCTTTGGTTCGCTTAAAGCTAAACGCTGGATAGTTGAAGTCTCCTCCAGTTAAGGGGATGAAATCAGATCTAATGTGAAGCCTGTGGAGAATGTAATAAAGCTCATGGGCTGTTAGAAACCAGAGCTGTTAGAAATCTGAAAGCAGCAAAAACCAAAAACATTCAGAGTTTTTTCAGCTCAAAGCAACAGAAAATGAAAACATTAACATATCTTTGATCAGTTTTAGTTGTTGGTTTCTTTCATTTAAGGTTGGAAGAAATTGCCTATAAATATTTGTACCTTGCCGGCAGAATGTTGTGACTCTAATCATTCAAACTGGATTAAATGTGAAAGAAAACTGAATCAAAGTTTGTTCTTTAAGAACTGCTCACAGCAGTGGTTAAACATTCACTCCTTGTTTCTAAAATCTGTCTAGAGGTTTTAAGAGATGCTAGTTGAATGTTTACAGCATTAAGAGGAATCCTTTGCACTGTCCCCTCAGCTTACCACGCCATCCTGAACCAGCCGGTGAAGAACGTCAGAGATATCCTGGTCAACCAGACGGCCCACATGTTGGCCTGCTACAGGAAGAACTGTGCCAGCCCCTCAGCTGCCAGCCAGGTCAGGGAAATTCAGAAAAAAAGACGTGTTTGCATTTTGGCATAAAGGTTTCTGTGTAACTGTGTTTTTTCTGGTCTGTAGTTGATCCTGCCCGATTCCATGAAAGTTTTCCCAGTCTATATGAACAGCCTGATGAAAACAGCTCCTCTAGTGGGCAGCACTGAGCTCTCCACAGATGACAGGGCCCACCAAAGACTATCAGTGATGGCTATGGGGGTGGAGGACACCCAGCTGCAGCTCTACCCACGCCTCATCCCTCTGGTAGGAGTGAGAAGACAAACTGTTCATGGTTACTGGTTCTTTGATTAAAACATAGCGGGAGTTTAAGCCCGTGGGGCTTAAACAAAGCAGTTAACTGTAGATTCTGTCTTCCAGCACAACATAGATGTCAGTAGTGAGGCAGTGCCTGCTCCGATCCGCTGCTCTGCGGAGCGTCTCACCGACGCCGGCATGTTTCTGCTGGAAAACGGGCACTCCATCTTTCTGTGGCTGGGCCAGGCGTGCCCCCCAGATGTTATCCAGAACCTCTTCAATGCACCCTCCCTCGCCCACTTGCAGCAAGGACACATGGTGAGAAGTCCTCTATTCCACCTAAAAAAAAATCTTTTTTTTTTTCGGTTGAAGAATCATTTGGATGCCAGACGATGCTATAGAACATTCATTTAGCATCACAGACTCTTTTTTTAGACTTGAACCTGCTTTTTGTGTTCAGTTTTCCCTGCCAGAACTGGACAACCCGCTGTCCAAGAAGGTCAGATCCATCATCAGTGAGCTGCTCGACAAGAGGCCAAACTCCATGAAGGTAATGGAATGAACTGGTAACACTCAGCCTTTTCCCTTCCTCAATCCTCCCACTTTATTTGAGGGAATGTAAGCATAGAAGACACCTATTTTTATGATGAAGCATCAGATATAAGGATTGTATGTGATAGACCTATGCAGAGTTGTTCATATTTGAAAATGAGGCGTAGACCTTAAGTTTTTCAACTAATGATCCTTTTAGGACCACCTTCAGCAGACCATATTATACTTCAGTCTCTCTCAGCTGAGATTCTTTCCAATTCTTTACTCTCTACATTTCAGATCATGGATAGGATCTGTTAACACCAGCTTTTAATTCTTATCACATATTCCGAATTTGAATTAATTTGATCTACACTATTCCCTTTTAGCCTTGGTTTTAAGTTTACGGCTGTTGTCCAGCTAAAAGAAGAATCCAAGAAATATCAGAGGCCACAGTTTTTATACCCAATATAATGAAAGCTAACTAGTTCACTCTGATAGAATCTGTTTTTGGAGTGGCAGAAGTTTACCCTCTCCTCTCCTAACGTGGAATTTGCCCCTTGAATTTATCGATTAATCTCAACAATAAACTGAGCAGAGAAAAGCTTCCTGAAGGTTTAAACCCAGGATCTTTTTGAAGACCAATACAACCTACATAAAGTATTTTCTTTCAACACCACAGAAATCTGATATATCAAAATGAGATGATGCATGTTAAAAATAAAAATGCCCAAATGATGTTGGGTATAATTCTTATTGGGTGTAAAGGGCTGGTTATACTCCTGCAGCAGTGTGTCGCAGTGAGCTTGACGCAGACAGTTTTGATTTATGCTCAATATTGAAGTGTGGTCTGCACTACGTTATTCCACGCTACAACACAAGAGGGACAATCAGGAACTAGCTGTGGTCTAGATATGGCCGAGGTGGTGAGGAAGTGGAGACAAGTTTGTCAGACAACGGAGGGACATGAGGACGAAAAAAACGGGGATCCAGGTGGAAAAAGGGTCCCAGCGTTCTCATGCACCTCGCTCTTCTAGCTGATCCAACTTCTCGAGTTGTTTTCCACAATGGCAGTCATACAAACAAAACAAGCCGGCAAGCGCATGTAGATTTTACCAATCAGAAGCCTCCTGTCTGCTGCACTTCCTGCAGTCACCTACAATGTGGGAGTGGTGCAGCAGAGTGTCTACGGAGAGGGCAGGGATGTCTTTGGTCCACTGCAATACCTACGCAGATGATTTAGTTTCGAAGTATAAATCAGCCTTAAGACCCCAGCACAGAAAGATTTCGCTGCTGCACAAACCGCAGATAAAACTATCCAAAAAAACGTCACTGATTCCAGCTATTGCATCAGGAAAGTAGGCTTACCACTTAAGCTTTTTCTTATTTTTTCATCTTATTAAAATAAATTATGTATTAATCAAATGTTTGTAGAAATGAACAGTTTTTTACTTATTAAAATGTGAAAGGGTTGCTTAAAACTGTATTTTTAATTAACCTTTGAAGAATAACCTTTTACTGCTGTTATAGCCAGATGACTTTACTTAGGTCTTCGCCCTCATAAGACAGCTATCTCACCGTTCCTGAAGAAAAAGATTCCCCCAGCATGCCACCACTGTGTTTCACTGTGTGATTAGTGTATTCAGGTCGATGCTCACCATTTGTTTTTCCTCCTTTCATATAACATATCGATGTTAGAGTCTTCTGGGGCTTTAACAGAGAAACTGGATTAAACTGAGATTAAACTATACTCTAAACTCCACTTATTAGGTGAAAGTAATGGATTAAACTGGATTTTATTTGTTTTTTTTGTCATAAAAGGGGCTTTATGCAAATGAGTGACACACATTTCATTTAGTATTAGTTTAGTCATGAAAAAAATCTAGCTGTTTTGCACTTTGTTACATGCAATCCCAGTAAAAAAAATGGACATTTGTTTGTAGTTTGAACAGGAGTTAAGAGGTTAAAACAAGTTACATATTTTGAGAGGTGTCATGTTGTTTTGAAGTTTGTAGAGGACCCAAATGCTGAAGCTTCTTCCAGATATAATAACAAGTGGTTGGAAAAGAAGCAGAAATCCAGAAACGATTAATTAAGGAACACCTAAACCAGAACAAAGGGGAACACATAGCTTAGGGAAGGAATGAGGAGAATCCAGCAAACAGTAACTGCAGAGGAGGACTATTTATTCCAAACGGAACAAAGAATGGAGTAATCAACTAATTGGGAGCACGTGTGGGCAGAAGGATCTAGAAGGGGGCTACGGCTAACAAGGGGGCAATGGAGAGTACACAAGAAATACATTGAAACTCAAATACAATCAGAAAACAACTAGAATGACACAAAATGCAAATGGAACAAATTACCTAGAAAACACAGAATGACAAATCTGAGTGTAACTGAAAATTAAAATGAAAACTTAAACAGAACCAAAACGCCCAGAAACAACAGAATCATGACAGTGAATCACTTTGAATCTACAAGAGGAACCCTCTTTTTTATGTGTTGTTGCATTTAATAACTTAAATCATTTGACATTCATAATTTTCTCTTCTCTGCACAGCTGCTGATCGTCAGGCAGAAAGACAAACCAGAGATGCTGTTCCGTCAGTTCCTGGTGGAGGACAAAGGTTTGCACGGCGGTGCCTGCTACATGGACTTCCTGTGCTATGTTCATAGAGAGATCAGGCAGCTGCTCACCTAAACTTCCATGCCTTACACATTAAAGGTGTCCTATACCGAGGTTATAAGAGTTCCAGATGAAAACAGTCTTTAAGAGTCCAAAGCCTTGTTATACACACAGTATGACCTAAAAATAACCACTTGTCATTGCAGTAAATAAGGCCTACTTGTTGTGGATTGTTGTTGAAATTATTTTTGGCCTGAGCAATAAAACATTCAAATTTCATTAGGTTTGGTACGTTTAAGATCTTGAAAAGACAAAAAGGTTATTTGTAGGCTGTACTCTATACATTCTGTGTTAATCTTCCAAGAAGAAAAAAATATTTAAGTTGTTTTTTTTTGTTATTTTTTAAACAATAAATACTCAAACAATATTTAAATGCCTTTCAGAGGCACGTCTTACATGTTTATATTATCTGACTGGAAAATGCTTTATAATAATTGCATAATATTTGAAAATGTCAGAATGTCGGTGAAACAAGCCCCCATCAGCAGGAGTTGGAAATCTATCCTGTTTTTAACTCTAGTAGTGATTCAAAGTGTTTGATACACCCATGCCTCCCCTGAAAGTTGCATTCTTTGTCCTTTTATGGCAGAGCTTCCATCTGCACAACCTGCAACCATGCAGAAAGAGCTTTGTTTTGGTGTTCGGAGCTCACAATGAAGTGAATACAGCTGTTGCTTGGCAGCAAACGTGGGGAGGAAGAGAAAAATATCTTTTTCTCTTCCTTTGTGTTGTTTCTACTAAAAGGGAAAATATTTAACTGTGGGAAAACATCAGAAAAAGTTTTTATTTAATTGTCAGTTGTTGAGTTGATTTAAGATCAAACTTAAACCAGTCTAACTCGGTCAACAAATGCAAAGTTAGACTTCAGTGCCAGCTTTATGCGCTGACCCTCAGTGTATACGTCCATTCAATCTATGTAAAGAGAGCGGTCAGTACTCTATCATCTCAGTGGATTATATTGCCTCTGTGTAATTCGTCTTCATTCCAAATATCGTCCTTTTGTCAATGCAGCCAGTATATTCCCTTTTTATACATAGATTTACAAAATATTACAAAATGCCTTAGTTTGACTTGTTAAAGATGTTTAGCCAAAAATATACACAACCAGCAGTTGTGTCATTTAAGTTTGTATGCAAACCTATCTCAGGTGATCTCTGTCCATTATTATTTCAAGATGAAATCAGTGATATATTTTGAGCTGGAATGATGATGGTGACTAAGTGGTCCTTAGTGTACGTTTCATTTCATGGCTGTAAACGGTTTTTGGTAATTAAATTTTCAACACAAACAGTGTCACTCCTTTTGTTTCTCGTTGCATTCTCTACATACATCTGCAGAAATAAGATGGAGAGATAGAGCTCTCTGACAGGCATTTCAATACATATATTTATACCTTACAAAGTCGCACATACTCCACCCAGGGGAACAAATCCACCCCCTGCATTAGCAAACTTTCTCACACTTGAACATTTGGTTATTCCCAAGAAAAAACAATTCAATTCATCAAGGACATAAATTTTAGCCAGATAAACGCTCAGAACAGGTCTCCCATTCATGGCATGAAGGAGGCTGTGTGAAGTCACTTATCTCTCATTGCCTTCACCCTTTTCTAGATTAGGGAGGCATCTGCTTTCTGTCCCTCCTACCTTAAACATTTCAACATAGAGGCTGGTACAAGATTTCTCTGAACTCACTCCTATTCAGGCAGGCACACACTAAACATTTTATCTCACAAATAGGCCAGGGAAAAATATGGTTCCACACACCCATAACTGATTAATACTTTACAATCCCATACAAAACAGGTTTTAACAAAAATAACAGACAATGCTAAGATCAAATATTAAATGCACTAGAACTTTAAGGCTTTTAAGAGTAAAGAAACCTTAAAATGATGTCATCTACAGAATATTCACATGGTTATAGAATTGCATAAAAACACAGTCATTTAAAGGTTGAGCTGATAGAAATTTAAAAGTATTCATAGTAACAAACACGTTTATAAGAGTCGTATTAATCAGAATATAAAAAAATAAACACATTGCAAGTAAGATTGTGGGAGCAGCTTTGACTGTTCAGTAACCAAACCTTTTTTTTTTTAAATGTTTTTTTTTTTTTTTTGTAGATTTAAGAGCTGTTAGATCACAGGAGGTATTGTTGGAGAATACTCTCCTTCCGAAGATGCTTCTCCTTACAGGGAATAGATGTTCAACTCCTAGACCCGTTCTTGTTGATCTGCTTTTATTTTGTTTTTTTCTAAATAAATTCTTGCAATGGAGAAGGAGCCATTTCACTTGCCATTTAAATACTAGATTGAAGAAACAATACTAATTTAGGTTCATTACATAGAGTGGGATATATTTCAATATTTTACTCCTGTTCCTTTTGATGATTTACAGCTAATTACAGATCAGCTGAAGGTCGCTATGAATGCAAACCTGGCCTCTACATCTTATCAGTGCCACTGGCTAAACAGTCTTCATAGATTTCTGGGTAGAAATCCATGCAAAAGGATTAAGCTTGATTTCCATTTCTGGATTGTCAGTAACTATAACCATCATCATATACATTAACTTGTATAAACCCGGTTTATTCTAGCGGGTGAAGCAAATGAAAGGATTTAGCTCTAACTCAACTGCAAGTTGTCAGAATTGACTAAGTCTCTTGGACAGCTGTCAGCAAAAACTGAGCAAATAAGAATAACCCTGTATTGTGGTTGCCATTACCTAGATAACTGAGAATTTGCACAGGCCCTCACAGTCAAACTAAGGTTAATGGTAGGGTTGATCTATCTTTAAATTGACTAGATTTAAAACAATTTTAGATTTACAACTGAAATTTTGACTTTCTTCCCTCTGTTCCCGGTTACAGAGATAAAGCTACAACTGAAATATTTATGGATATCGATCGAGGGGAAAGACTTCAGTTTATAGCCGTATCAGACTGCTCAAGCTGGAAAATACAGGTTAAGCCTTAATGCACCCGAGATGGCTCATGAATGATGTTTTCATCTTACTTTGTTATTCATGAGAGTTTCTAACAGAAAGGGGCGAGAGTCCAGCCTCTTGATTGATAAAAAGCCAAAAGTATGACTGTCTAAGGATGTTGACAGTGGACTTTAACATATCTCCTCCGGACAAATTCACACAGACCAACAAATAAATTTTCCCTGTTGTTGTGTCTGCAGATGCACCAAAGCCTGTATGCTGCCAGTGTTGTTTAAGCTCTGCAGTGGTGCCAACAGGGATCAGTAGCCCACACTTCCTGTACATTCTGGTCCTTTGTAATCCTAAAAACTTTCACTTTATGGATAATTATCTTGGTGGCAATTTTTATTTTTATTTTTACACAAAACCCTTTTGAAGAGTAAAGACATGCAATATTTTCTATGGAGGAAACTAAAGTGAAGCAGTTTCCCCCAAACAATTTGTGCATAAGAAAAAGTACGGTGAAAGATTATTTCTATAATAAAGCTAAGTAAGTTGATAGAGAACTGCAGGGAAAGAAAAAAAAAACGGTCATGGTAACAACTGAAGCTGTAAAAGTTGCAAAAATACAGATTATTTTCGGGATTACAATAAATTATGTAAGCCCCAAACTCTCTATGACTGTCAGTTCAACATTACATTGAAATTTTCGTACAAATTAATAATAATTTCCTAATATGAGATCAATAGACGTTCTCCCGAGACAAGGTTAACTTTTCACCTGTGTTAACCTGTTACTGCCACAAGGGGGCAAGAGCTTACTTTCCTTTAGTTTGGAACATCTCTCTCAGATACATTTTAACCTGGACATCAAACCTTTATTAATACCATGACAGTAACACAATTAACCAATTTCTATAAACTAATGAATCTCTCGTTTAGTCTCTAATTTATGCTTGAAGATTCCTGGAATTGGCTAAAAATATAAAAAGTCTTACTTGTAAACTATATGGTAGGTAAAAAAAAAAGGTATCAATTTTTTCTAATTTTTCTTCCTGAATAAAGTCAGTGTTTACCAAACCATTGCAACAAGCTTGCTCCTTATCAAGGTCATTGTTGTGGATTTACTTTATACTGTTACCTTAACAAGCTGACTAGTCATCATACCGCAGAGCTTAAATTAACTGATTTTTGTAAAAAGAAAGTAAAAGTAATGTATAAAAAAAAGGTATGGGAATAAAATTTAAATATATGACATAACCCTGGTATGTAACATTTTTACGATCCTTTATTGACCTTAAAAGAATAATATGAAGTGCAGAAAACATTCTTGATCTTGAAGTTGAATGTTCCTCTACCAGAACCTGGTTGTACTGCATTGCTGAGTATCTATATTCTATTGGAATAATGTTTCTTTTACCTCCATAGTGTGATGTTTTTTAGCCAAACGCTCCATTTAATGAGATTGTTTTGAAGAAAACAGATATTTTTGAATGACCCATAGAGATGGAGTCGCTAACAAGAAAAAAAAATGCTGCAAAGGTCCAGCTGATAAGATTTATATAAATCAAAAAAGTAAATTTAATTATTTCACTCGTATTGTCCCTATAAAGAGTAAAAAAAAAAAAGAAAAAAAAACATGTACGAATAAAAACGTCAAAATAAACCCATAATCTCTAAAATATACCTGCATTTGTCGGTTATTTGATGAGTCTAATTTCTGCATCCAGGTTGCTGTTAGAGAGAAACAACAGACTAATTGTCAGATGAAAACCAATCAGCAACCAATCAGGCGGATTCAGAGATCACAGTTCAAACCCAAGTGACTTTTACTAATAAAGTAAGTCTGAAGACCAGGAATTCATCTGAGAGCAAATTCTCATTTAATACTGTACAGCTGACAATCTTTATACAGTGACCATGACCTGGAAACAATGCTGCTGGGAACTCCTTTACATTGCCAGAATAAAGAAGAGTAAAAATTAAACAAAAACATATTGATGCTTTACTTTACAGAAAATATACATACATCATGTCAAATAAATAATACATTAAAAGCAGCTTTTTCCCCCTCTTATTTTTATAAACTTATTTTAATCTAACATGATACTTGCGGTAAAATCGTCCTACAGACACGTACATTTGTTGGAACCTCCAGTATAGATATAGAAAAAGTTATCAAATTGGAGTATATTTCATATTAGAACATTTTTAAAAATTCCAAACCTTCATTTTAACAAATTTGGAAGAAGGCATTCTTAAAAATATGATACAACTGAAGCATCTTCACCCTATATTTGCAATTAAACTAAGCTTTTGTAAATTTTTAAGTCATTGAGGACTGAGCTTGTGTAATTTCTATTTGCTGCTCTTCCAAATAGGAAAGACAAGGAAACAATAATTGAACGTTATTGATCTCACATTGGAGAAATTTATCTCTGCAGAGAGCTAGAGTGGCAGTGGGGCTCAAACTCAGAACCTTAGGATTCCAAGCTCTATGGCCTAATCACTAGGCCACCTCTCCCCATCTTGCCATCTTAGTAAGGCATAAAAAATGTTAGGCTTCATAAGGCAACAAATTGTTATAAGAAAAACCTACTTATTAGGGGGCCGTGTTTGTAAAATAGCCTTTTTAAAACCATAACACATGTAAATATATATATATATATATATATATATATATATATATATATAAACACCCCAGGTACTGTTAAATCGGTGATGCTGTGGGCCTTATGCTAAGTTCACACCTAACACGATTGAAGCAGCAAAAGCAGCTGGTATGGTTGATGCACATCAAGGCGCTTTAAAGGGTCCTGCAGCGCCTTTTGAGCAGCAGGAGGAACGCATGTAAAGCAGCGCTTCAGGGAGCTGCAATGCAGATTGCTACGATCGCTCCCCTGAAACTGTTTATTAATGCTTAAATTAACTTAAAATTTGAAACCTGCTGACAAAATATATCTGCTTTTATTATTCTGGTCCTTGCAGTTTGTTCCACATACCTTAAAAACACTAACATCTACTTCCAGTCACTTCGAACTACTGCTGGGGAATCCTAGTGACAGCACACCGCCGGTATGTGGGGATCTGAGCAAAAATAATATTTGAGGCAGGATCGTAATCTTGATAAACCGACTGCACAAACAATGTTTTCAGGTGGACTTTCTTGCATAAAAATATATTAAAACCACTTTTTACCAGCTTATCAGCCAGTATAGCATAGCTGCCCTCTGCCATTGAACACAGGAGCAGCAGAAGCATCAGATACATCTGTGCACAATTTCCTGAACGCGCTTCAGTTGCATCACAAATGCTCTTGACGTGGGTCTGACCTTAATGTGTACAAGCATCAAAAATGAAGCAGGAGGCGCTTTTTTGCCAACCAAAGCGCGTCCAGTGTGAACGTAGCATAAGTCTCCTCTGCAGTCTCTCTGAACCATGTTGGAGTCCACTGCATAATTTAAAATAAAAGGATGTGAGGTTTAAGATTTATGATGTGTTGTTAGAAGCTGTAGCAGAAGGAAACGGTGGTATTTTTTGTTATGACCTAAATAGGCTTTTCCCCGAAAAGCATTAGAAAGAGAGGACACAAGTATCACTTTAAAATATCGCTGATGTATTTGTCTGTTGTGCACTGAACTAGTTTTCTAACAATTTCTGAAGGTACAGCCAATTGGGAGTTGGTGGCCATGTGTGCTCAGTAGGAAACCACAGCGTGTTATGGAGGGAAAAAGAAGTAGGGTTGTTTGTGTTGTTTGCTGTCAAACATTCTGTTCCGTTATGGGTGTAGCTGCTCAACCAGGAAATATAAAGGAATGTTTTTACAAACTGAGACAAAAATTCATGTTTACTACAGCTTCAGGTACAGCAGTAAGCTACTGACTGATATAAAATGTAATATTGAAATAGCCCAATGTTAGAATAAATTAAAAACTCATTTATCAACATTTATTTAAATTCTTTTAAAAAATGTTAATAGTTTTAAAAGTATAAAGCATTAAACAGCATCATTTTTATGGCTATTATGTTCTAAAACAACCAACCAGGCATTTTGAAAATGAAATGGTAGAACCTGCATAAAAACAGGATATAAAGAGTGTGAGCATGCTTGGAATAGACATGCTTACATTTCACTTATTTTAATGTAAAATTATGCGTAAGAAATAAACAATTTCAAGGCTTAGGACAGATCTTTACCAGAGGTGCCAACAAATTTTTCCTCATCTGTACTCATGTGCTTAAGATATGGTCCAATTCTGACATCAATACAATCCTTGTTTTGTGTAGTTGGCAGGTAAACATGAGCAAAATCTAAAACTAATTTCTCATTGTTCAATCTTCAGTATGTACAATTCAAAATAGTACAACATATGTGTCTTTTCTCTCTAAATAAAGAGTAAAATCACACACCACACTTTTCTAAGTCTGGTAAGAACTTAGAACACTCTGGAACTTCAAATTGTTCAATTTGTCTAAAGTTGTGAGTCACAGTGACGTCATTTGGCAGTAAATAAAACAAGGCTTAATGGGCTGATTTTGTGTTTTCATTTGAATTAACCTCCTATCCAATAATTCATTTTAATTAATCCTATTTTAATATCTTATCAAAAGAAAATAAATTCCAGAGCGTTCCCAACATGCTGCTATTTCTAATTGTGGCCCAAGAGTGATAATGAACAATCTATCTATGGTCAAAAGTCTGCATAGCACACTGTAGACAGTATGAGTCCAAATCAGTAACTGGGCCATGCTAAAGATGAAGCTTCTCTCCAATGGTTGGCTAAGCAGCCAAAAGTTAGAGAACATTTTCAAAGAGATGCATCGATCGCATGATGTTTTCATCCTGAGGATTATAAAAAAAAAAGGGAGACAATAGGATTTATAATGGTGAGTTAAAGACAACAATAGTGAAAAGTAGTGGAGCGGGGAATCCGGCTTACATTTTGGCAACAGTCAATGAACTCGTCTATGGTTACCACACCATCTTTATTTTTATCCATCTTCTGTCAGGAGGAGAGAATAAAACATATAAGCATAGGAAACAAAGCTAGGGGGATATTTCATTAACTATAAATATAGAAAAAAACAGAGACTTGCTTGAAAGAATACTTCTACGTGCTGACGAGGCGTCTCTTCTTTAAGGACGGGGTAAGTACATTTACCCATCATGTCATAGATGGCCTTCATGATGTCCAGCATTTCCTGCGAAATGCACAAGCAGACAGAAAACCCCCAAAGTTATATGTTAAAAAACAACAATATTTCATTAAAGTTAGGACATAATATTGAGAATCAACTTTTCAGCCATTCAATTTGGATGAAGTTTCATTGGATTTTAGTGCAACAACAAGCAGCTTTCCTGTGTTTTTCTGACACAAAGAAAGCATTTAATACAAACTCATCACGAAACAGAAAATGCACTACTATACATGGAGTAATGAGATAAAGTTAAAAGTCTCAGACTGTGACTGACAGTTGCTGTTGAATTAATATGGATAGTTTTCTTTACAACACAGTTGTCACTACCCAATCTGTACTGGATGCACGATCCGTACCATCAGCTCATTTGTGCATGTGCAACAAGACATACATCAGGGTCGCCCTCTAATTTATTTTGTAAAAAAGACCTAAATTGCATATTTCACTCCCAAAATTTTTTAAATGTTCTAAACTATAATGTTAAAGGTTATTAACATATTTCCCGAGAAAATAAATGCCTAAAATCCTTTCTTTTTTATCGCACTTCTGTGCCCGATCTGTACCAGAAATTGGATCCTATTTACGGGCTTTGGATTTAAACATAAATCTAGTCTTTTTAAGATTTATGATTTCTTTTGCTGTAAACAATATAGTATATAAGGTGTAAGCTAAGAAGAAAAACCACTAATATGCAGATAAACATGGTTTAATCATATTTTGCCGGACTACTCTGAGCATGTCCGATGATGACATCAGACAAGCAGTTTAACAGAAAAAATGTAAAAAGCATCAAATGGGTTGAATTAAGGATAGAAATAATTTATTATAGCACCATAATTACATTATTTATGACGAATGAGCTGATGGTACGGATCATGCTTCTAGTTCGAACCGGATAATGACAAGAATATCTTTCTAAAAGGAAGAACTTTAGTGAATATATGGCAATATGCTGGCCCCAGTGACAGTGTGTGTCCTCTGTCAGTATACAACATCTGCTGTAAAACTGCTTTCCGTACAACTTTAGCCAGAAGAATTTGCTACAGCGGAGAATTTTTTCCCTCAGTGTCTGAGCTGAATAAATGAGTCATAATCAGTATTATTGTGCAACACATTGTCCTTGAGCCCATCCTTTTTAAGGGCTAATTGATATAATTTTGTTAGAAAGCTACAGTATTATTCAATCATTAAACTCTGGAGAATTACAAATACAGTTTTCAAATTCCTGAGCAGCGCTCCTTTTAGTTTGGTCTGCTAAGCTCTAAAAAGAAAATGCTGCTCCAAATTAGATTAATTGCTTCGATTGGTAACATGTAATTGAATCAAGTTGATCCCACTCAATTTATTAAGTTTATAAGTTGAAAAATAAATAAAGGTATGCAAAATTAATTCAAGCACTTGTCACAAATTGAGGAAATTATTTTAATTAGGGCCGCATTTTTTAAGGGTGTAACACGTCAGACAGCTTTTTACTGTTTCCTCGCAGGACCAGTCACCACATAAATCATCAACTTGGTGCTGAAGACTTGCTTTTTCTAAAATTTGTTTTTACTGCTTTTGACATACATATAAATTTTTTGAGGCGATAAAAGCCATATGCTTTAAAATCCCATCCTTTACAACTAAATTAAACTGTTTTAATTAAAAGTAGTTGTAATTTGGATAATTCGTACACAGTTCAAAGATTAGAAACATTACATAAGATTGAAATCTATCAACAAACAGTGAATCAACAGGAACTTATTTAATCCCTAAAGTGTGAATTATGGTCCCTAAAAGTGAACTTTCATCTAGTGCCAGAATAAAGCAATCATCTGCCAGATACTTTGGTCCTAAAACTTCAGAGCTAATATAACTCCTTAGAGTGTTGCCTGGTAGAGTTAATTATTCCTTACAAGTTAATTTTTTTTTTTTTTTTTGCAAATCACTTTGATTTATGTTATTCCAACAAACTTGCATCAATAAAGTTCAGTTTAGAGCAAGTATTTGCCAAATGATAAGCCTCTACTGAAGACTTGCACAGCAGGAATATGAAGATGGCATCATATAAAATCCAAACAAGTCAACGAAACAAAGTTTCTCGAAAAAAAAACAAACATGGGCCAGTTTCTGGTTCCAAGGGATTTAGAGGCACATTGGGAGGAAATTATTTTCCACGGCCTATACAACTTAATTGCAATATACAGTCAGTTCCTGATAACAGCCTTAAAAGCCATTTGCTATTAGAAACAAAATGTTTGCTGTTTTAAAAGGTTTCTGGGAAGACTCAGACTTTGAGAAGAAAACATTTTCTTTTACTCTAAAAGCTTATTGGAGCTATACAATGAGCATTAGCATGTCTACTGGTACTGTCATGATCATGGCCATGATGACTGGCCCGATTAGTCTTTTCATTCACCTGCTTTGCTCCGCTCAGTTCTCATTATAGCTCATCTGATGCACCTGCTTCAGCCTCTATTTAACCTGTCTTCTTCCAGTCATCAGTGTCAGATTATTCAAGCTTTTGATGAGAGTTCTCTAGCGTACCTGATTGTGTTTCTGATTGCCTGATCCGGACCAGTTCTGCCTCTGGACCTCTGAGCCTGCCTGTCCCTGTTCTAATCTGTTTGCCCGACCCGTCATCGGACTCCTGCTGGATTCTGTCCGCGTACAGAACCTGGAACTGTTTCCTGACACCGTCCTGGATTTTCCTTTAGCACCTCTTTGGATCTCTGATCTCCTTGCTCTGACTTCTGAGTATGTCAACATTGGCCTTGTCTTTGCCCTCTGAATTATCCTGCCTTCCTTCGCGTTTGCATCTAAGGCAGAGGTTCCTGCCTTAGATGCAAACGCCATTCTCCACAGTTCTGTCTTGATTAAACACTTTGTGAAACCTAACTGTCTTTCTGCCTCGAAAACTGGGTCCTCTTGTTCTGAGCCTGACAGGTATAACAAATGGTGTCCAAAATATTTGCTACCGAGGCAAATAAAACCTGTGAAATGCTGACCAAATTCCATAACTTATTTTAAATCTTTGTTTCCCTATATGTTGTTATACTGACTGAAGCATAGAATGGGAGACATGAATCTTAAAAAGTCAATGACAGAGGCATGGGTTATTAATGTTAAGATATTGCATACCTCTTTAGTGATGTATCCATCTTTATTGATGTCATAAAGGTTGAAAGCCCAAATGAGCTTTTCCTGGACTGTGCCTCGCAGCAGGATTGAAAGGCCCATAACAAAATCCTGTAACAGAACAAGAAGTTCTCACACGTCAGGAAAAAAAATAATGATAATCATCACTTCTCAGACTTGAAATCTCCAGAGGTAAACAAAACCAGCCTCCATATTTCTGCTAGCATACAGAAAGCATGTTGGTTATTAATTGGAGATGAAGGATGAAACAGCAAAAGTGAAACCTCAATAAATCAAAATACCTCATTATTCAAATGATAAGAAAGCTTGTAGTCTGTGTGGGACCCTACAGGGAACCGCTGTTTTTCTGCAGAACGGGACGCGAATAAATCAGGAGGGGGGCTTTAGTAGGACGTGATGACAGCTTCTCTGTCCTAATAAGCAAATATCTGTCCCTCATAAATATTAATAAAAAAACAGCCAGCATTACAAGTCTGCTTGGTTGGATGGAATAAAAATGATTGAGGAAACATGTTTGACTTGATTCTTCAGAAGTTATTGTGAAGGACTTTATAGTCACTTGATGGATCAAACTTTAAAACTCTTTAGGCTTACGCAATCTTTTTGTATTCTCTACCTCTGGCAGCTCATAACCCAAATATCTGCTGCAGAAACTGGCTGATTACCCAGGTAAACATGTGTAAAAGGCTATAGAACTTAGAAATAAAAAAAACGATATATGTAATGATTAAAAAAAAGCTTTCCAAAATGTAAAAAATGAAAGATCTTTAGCTTCCCTGGGGTAATAATTTTAGCACCGGGTCCATTTCTCCTAGGCACTTAAAAACAGGAAACACAGGAGAACAAACAACTCAGGTATATAGTCAGGCTATAGCTACATGTCTTACAACAATATATAGGCAAGGCAAATTTAATTTTATAGCAAAACTCAGTAAAAGGGCAATTCAAAGGTCTTTACAAGAATTAAACGATAAAATAGAAGAAAAGTAAAAGCAAGTAAAGATCGAAACCCCCCAATAAAACCATGTACTGTAGTAAAACAAATAAAACAGTTGGACCAAAACCTTATACTAGTAAAACCTTAGTTAATAGTTAAACATTAACAGTCAAAGGCAGTCATTAACAAAGAGGATTTTAACTTTCGCTTAAAAGAACTCAGGCTTTCAACACTTTTACAACCATCTAGAAGTTGATTCCAGATAATTGGATCATAGGAACTAAATGCTGCTTCTCCATGTTTGGTTCTAGTTCTGGGTGTACAGAGTAGGCTGGAACTAGAAGACCTGAGTGGTCTGGGAGGTTGATCACTGACAATAAATCTGTTATGTATTCAGGTGCTGATCTATTCAGTGATTTATTGACTAACAAAAGGATTTCAAAGTCTATTCGCTGAGCTACAGGAAGCCAGTGTAAGGACTTCAGAACTGTGCTGATGTGCTCTACTTTCTTAGTTCTAGTGAGAACACAGGCAGCAGCATTTTGGATTAGCTGCAGCTATCTGATGAATTTTTTAGGCAAACCTATGGAGAAACTGTTGCATTAATCAATTCTACTAAGGATAAATGCATGAATGAGTTTTTATAGATCCTGCTTGAACATTAGTCCTTTAATCCTGGAAATGTTCTTCAGGTGATAAAAGCTCCACTTTATAACTGCCTCTATGTGCCTCTGAAGGTTCAGGATAGTTGAAAACACCTGAACCTGTAGCATACTACTTGTCTGGACATTTAAAATATGTTACATCAAAACTTTTAAAGTTTTAAGAAATGCCAAATAAAAATGTCTCCAAACCAGCTGTTATATAAATGGGGCATACAGGTCACCCAGTCCTCATTGTTCCTTGCATGCCTTTAATATCAGTTTTTTAACCTTCTACTTCTTTTATGTTTCTGCTTTATCATTACTTACCCTCTTTCCTTTAATGGCCACTTATATGATCACTTTGGATTGTTCATGTTTTTAGATGTTGGTCACATAGAAGAAACCATAACACCTATAGAGACCTTTTACTTGTGAAAGTAAAAGTGAATTTTGAATACAGTCATAGTGACATCTTATTTTTTCCTACAGTTCTAAATAAATATATATATATATATATATATATATATATATATATATATATATATATATATATATATATATATATATATATATATATATGTGTGTGTGTGTGTGTGTTGAAAGTATTAAAGGCCAAGTGGGGGCTGTTTTATTGTTTTAAGATAACGTTTTAAGATAACGCTGTTGAAACAGGGAGTTGGGTGAGGAAAGAAAGAGAGGTTAGCCCAGGGCACCAATACTGCAAGGATTGTCCCTGAGGAGAGTCGTGCAAAGTAAAGGTCTCAACAGAAGACTGAGTGGGGTTATATTTGTATAGGAGAGGTAAAAAAAAAAAAACAGCAGCAGTGGTGACAGCAAGTATGGCGGCTGTGGTTGATATTATGCGACTAAATTTCTATAGAAAAATATATTTTTTTGGATATTTTTACATATTTTTCCAGAAGTGTTGGTTCAATGTGAACTTAAAAGTATATTTGAATCTATTCCTAATCTTTACTAGACTGTAACAGGTTTTCTGACATAAAATAAATCACAGCAGGCTCACCTCGAAGCTCACAGACCCGTTATGATCCGTGTCAAACGCGTTGAACAGGAAATGTGCGTACGTCGAAGCATCTAAAAGAAAAGAAATTCAAAATGATTTCTCCTCAGTTCAGCCCATCTAATATCAAAAAGTAAACCTATTACAAGAAAGAAAACGGTTCAGAGTTTTTTTTTTTATATTACTTTATTTTGTAGTTTTCTGTTCAGCTTCAAAGAAAAGAAGTCTTTGATGAGAGAAACGAGAGTTTTCTCATTGTTTCCTGTATGGAGAGGCTTATCTGTTTACTGCTCTGCCTTTCTTCTCTGAGGGGAAAAATCAAGGCCTCCTAATGTTTTCTTCATATTTCCTTGAGTTGAGTATATTTGCTTAATGATAAAAGCCTTCAGTGAAAAACCGAAGGCTGCACATGTAATAAACAACAAAAAACAACCGAAATTTCAAAGCATTTGCTTTGATGGAAGGTTAGATTCAAGTGGGTTTTACTTGATGAGACGAATAGACTTGTTATTAAACAAGGTTACACAGGATATCTGAAGCAGTTGCTACACACTTCATACCTCCTTGTGGAAAAAACTGTGCGTAGATGTCTTTAAAGGTATCTTCATTGACGACTCCACTTGGACATTCCTAAAATATAAATAAAAAAAACAGGTAATTTTCCATCCATTACAGGTTTGAGTTTTTCTTAAAGTACCAATATAGACAGTAGAAAGGGCTTTTTTTTTTTGGAACCTTTCTCATTACTGTGACCCTTTGTGTCGACCATCCCAACCTCAGCCTGGTGGCATTCAGCAGCAAACCCTCAGCAGTGATCTTATCTACAGCCTTTTAAAGTCACCCACCTGCTGGTGGCATTCACTGAAAAGACATTTATGTAACACTTTCAAGAAGGACATTTTTACTGCCGTTTTAAAGAGTCAAAGATGTTCCTGATGACCTTGCTCAGCACAGTGCTTGTGTAGGAAGTTACTTTTTGCAGGCTCAGGTTTGCTCTCTTGCAAATCTGAACATTTATGAAATAGGAAACTGAAATGGAAAGAACAAGATCACTGATCTGGGTACATTTGGGATCTTAAGAAGCCTAAACCATGTTTTCTAAGGGTTGCAGGGAAAGAAGAAATAGCAAGATGGAGAAGTTAGCTGGAAATCAGAAAGAGCACAGATTGCTGATAGAAAAACTTAAAATAAGGAGATATAAGCTGTAAGGTAAACAAATGCAATGTATTCTGTATATTCTTATATATAACTATTATTTTATTTAAAGGAAAAGCACAGTAGTGTCTGACTTGTGCGTTTCCTTGCAGCTATAAATAAATCTTCACATTATCCATTGGAAAAACATAAGCAGAAAAAAGGAGTGGTATCCTGTAGGGATTAGCTCTCATCTCATATTTGGCCAAAGGCTAACTGACCTACTGTATACTTTATATACACCACATTCTGTAAGTCCTCTCCCTGTCAGCTTTGTTTGCTTTCGTGCTTCTCATAAGACAGTTAATATTCAGTCCTCCAGAATAAAGGCAGGCCTAACTATTCTCCATCATATCTCACAATTTTTCTCCAAATTACTATTAAAACCAAAATAATACACTCATGTGAAAACACCACCACTAACATCTGCCAAATTATTTTTTGAAAAAGGTGTGATGTGAAGTGGAGATCGGGCACTTGACAGATTCTCGTTAATCAATTTCGGAATTGGAACAAGTCGAAATAGTTCCAAAATTAAAATAAAATATTGACTGACTTTTTTTATTTTATAATTTTTATTATAATATTAAGGCTTGAGATTAGCATCAAATCTGGATGTAAAGTTAAAAAGAGCACATTTAATCAACACAGTTTTGGTAAATAAAGACAGGGTTCACAATATTAGTAAAGCGAAGATCGACCAGAGATACATGAAGACAATGTAAACAAAACAAAAAACAATTGTAGGAACTCCACCATTTGAATGTAAGGATCAGTAGAAGGAGGAAAATAGTAATCTATTCTCACCAAAGTAAAAGGATTAGGAGGTAATCGTGTTTCACATTAACAACTAAAGAATACTGAACAGCACTGGAGCCACTGTTATGGCTAAGAGGAGAAAAAGCTGCTGCTCTGCTGTCAGACTGCAGTTTGCAAAAGATCAGAATTATAAGCCAGAAGCCAGAATGCTGCCAGGAAAACCCTGATTTGTGAATGACTGAGACCAAAATAGAGCGTCTGTAAATATCCAAAAGTTTGGAAGAGGATAAGAGCGGTTTCCAGGACATCTGGAGGGACATCTGTGTACAAACTAAATCTAAAAAGCGTCAAAAGAACAAGCAAACATACCTCTCCTGACCAAAAAATAAGCTCCTATTTCAAAACAACATACAATAAAAGAAGTCCCACAGTACAGCAGACATTTCTTAGTGTATGTTGAAGTGAGGACAGTATTTATGTTGAACATTAAAGGTACTACAAAATAAGTGTAATCTAGCTAGAGTCTGAAGAAAAAAACTACTAAGATCTCCAAAAAAGCTGTAGAACATCACACATCAAAGGTAACTCTAAAAACTCACAGGTTGATGCGACTGCTTCAAAGTTAAACATCTATAGAATGAAATGGAATAGCATAAAATTAGATAGAAAAGAAAATGGGGACATTGTTAGAGTAGAAGTGGTTACACAACGTGTTTTTACAATATTAATACTCTGTATCTGGAGAATAAAAAAATCAATAACAGCTGTGGACATTGTTTAAAGTAATGGATATACAGGAGAGATGTGCAAAAGAAAAATTATAGCAACATGTTATTTAACTGACTAAGACAGAAACTGTGCAAAAATAAGAATCAATGTAACAACTTATTGAGGTTGTTGGGAACAGTGATGGTTATAAAGTCTTCCAGCTGCTAAAAGGAAGGATCTATGATAACGCTCCCTGGTGCATTTAGGGTGCAGCAGTCTGTCACTGAAAGAGCTTTCCTGTTCAGCAACTGCTTCATGCATAACTAAAATATATGACAACTCATTAGAGAGTTACCAACTAAAAAGGAGAGCTGATGGTATTTTATGTAGAAATCATAGGAAATACGATCTAAAACAACAAAATATGAAAATTCTTACTGTTAAAGACCAACTATGGCGCTACATTTTGGCAAAAAAAAAAACAAAGAAAAGAAAATCAAGAAAACAAATAGTTCTGCTTTAAACAAACGTCTTTAGAACCATCGAGGATGAAAGGTTTGCTGCATAATTCCCCCTGAGATTCTCCTTTGTCACTAATTCACACCAAACCCACCTTTAAAAAAGGGGAGTTTTTGGGCGAGAGAGAAGTCAGGTAAACATGAAACCAAGTAAGATTGAATATTTTCTTTGGGTCTGAAAAACGATTTTATAAAACCTAAAAGATGTTTGCTGGACAATAATGGACAAAAGTTATAACAGGTTATTTATTTACAAGGGTTCATTCTACTATAAAGAACCTTAGAGACATATTCTCTTTCTGCTTAGATGTTTGTTTTTGATCATCATATTAGCTACCTGGCCCTATCTGAAAATAAAAGATTTATCTTCCTTTCTAGAAGTAATGGACATTATTAAAGGGGCAGTTAGAAGAGTTTTATTGATTTATTTTGAAGTCTTTGGTGCTCAGACGTGATTGGGAAACATTGGTACTGAAATTTACTTTTTTAATATGCATAAGCAGATGAATGAGAACAGGGATGCATCCTCCCAGGGCTGAAATTGGTGGTGGAATGGATATCGAATGAAGAAAGGTTCTGTCTTGGACTGCAGGTTGTATGAGCCTTCCATGATGAGCCACTAGGAGAAGACTGTGAAGAGAAAAAGCAGTCCCCTTTGAGAGCATGGTGGTCTTCAGAACGACTTGGGAATGCTTCAGGGAATGCCATATGAGATCAGGAGTTCACTTGTTATAGGTATGAGATTGCAGACAAAGAAGAAAAAGCAAGATGAAGCTCTGCAAGTCATGGTGAAGAAGGGGTTTTTAATCTTTTTGAAATCTCCCATTTTAAACTTGCATAATTACAGACATTTTAGCATTTAGACTGCTTTAATTTAGCTTAGTTTATTTTTATTTTAAACCACCATAAAAAAAGACAATGCATTGTAAAAAGAAGAAAATTATCTGGAGCAGGAATAACCAGGCATAAGGTTAAAACTTGATAATATTACGAATGAATAACTTTATACGTCTTGTTATCATACTTGCATCTTAGAAAAAAATTTGTGGCTGAAAGTTTACCTTACATTTAGGCCCTTTATTGCATATGTTATTTCAAGAGATATTTTAATGACTAAAAAACGACAGGAAATTGTATTTTAGACATTATGTTTGCAGCAGTTTAAGACTTACTTTACTAAAAGTCAAATGTCACCTAAATGAATATTCATAAAATGAAGGGATGCTTGACCATGTAGTTTAACCTCACTTTAATCTGCACCTTAAATTACAGCTGTCAGCACCATTACCATACTAATGTTTGCCGTTGAAACAGGACAGGGTCAGCTACTTCCTCTGAAATCGTTGGCTCTTAGCGACCAACATTTTTGGTAAACTGAAAGTCAATAATGCTTTACTGACCAACACTGACAACATTAATCATCAGTTTTAAATTTTCAGCAGCCATATTTATTACCACAGTGTTGTTGGTGGCCTACTGGTGGGGTAGACCCTTTATCAACGCAGAGAGATAAAAATAAATTATATTATATAAAAATATAATTATAATATAATTTAATTATATTAAATTATATTATATAAAATTAAATTATAAAATATTTATAAATGTTTAATTGTATGCTTTCAAGTCGCCCCAGAAGAAGGAACACAACAGTATATATTTGACTTAATTAGCTTAGCTCATATCTTACTGACACTGTTATTAGACATGTGCAACTGGCCCCAAGGATTAGTTTTACACTGAAGATGGACAGCAAAGAGACGCTACATTGAGTGATATGGAGTCATTGGGAATAATACAATACACATAAAGTGTTCATCATCTAACAATTGAACTGGTGACCTCAGACTACATATTTTGGAGCTTAAAATGTGTGGACAATATTTTCTTGTTTCTTTCAGTGAGAGAGATTCATTTAGAAAATTACCTGATTCAGACAACTTGTTTTGTTTCTGTTTCGGTATGTTTGAACCACCTGTGCTCCAAGCGGCTGCTTAATAAAGTCACCTGTCAAAATAAACCACCTCCGTCTCCCGCCTGCATCTGAGGCATTCGATTCGCCTCGAAACTCTGGACAACAAGGACAAAGGGGCCAAACATCTCATCATGGGAAGCCAGCCAGCTTCTATTAGTCTGCTGCCCTTAAAAGCTCTCCTTCACTCCAGCAATGACGCTGGAACAAGACGAAGAAGTGTTATTTGTCTCTGACAATTCAAAAAGAACGTGATTTAAAAAAATTATAATTACCAGCAGTAGTGAGAGTCCCATCTTATTTATTTTAAAAATTAGACTTTATTGACAAAATGTAATTATGTAACAGTGATAAATATCAAAGAAATCTTAACAAGGAGAGCATCAGTAGATAGCTTATTTTCTCTATCGTGTTCAAATACAAGAAAATGAACAAAAGAAAATGTATTTGATGAAGAAAGGCTTAGTCATCGCCATTGGGGTATTCTGCTCAGCCTGTGATTGAGGTTTAAGAGTGGGACGAGAAAATGGCACATCCATTTCAAGATCTGATCTCCTCTTAGTCTGGGAAAACCTATTCTTTTTTTTCTTTGAAGCCTAGTGTGCCGTTACTTTGTAGTCTCAAAAATATTACTCCAACTTTGGAAAAGAGAAAAAAAAAAAACTCAAATTAAAACATCTCTTATGAAGAAACTCTAACCTGTCTTTTCCTGCTGTTTTAGTTTGACGTCTCACAATATTAAACCCAAAGACCGTACGTGCCAGGGGAGAAAGGAGGGCATAAAGGTATCTCTCATAAAACAGAAGTATCTTCAAAAATTTGGTTTATCAAAATGTAAATATCAGGTATTTAACGCTGATAAGACACTAAACTGAGTTTAATAGATAATTACATTATACAAATGCTGGATGATTCATTTTTTTTCGGCCTTCGCTGCAGCATATCTAAGATACAACCAAAAAAAGTCGTATTCACTCTGTCCGAAAACTGCTGAACTGAAACATAACATCCATCCCTGAGCTAAAAAGAAAAAAGGACATCTTTTCTGCTATCGGTAAGTTTTTACACTTAAGAAAGTAATCAAAGTCTTAGAGTCCGGAGGAAGAGTGAAGAGACACAGGATCCAGCTCGCTTGAGGTCCATGTAAAGTTTCCACGAGGGCCACATCATCTATAAGAGGCGATCCACTATGTTTTAGCAAGTCCAAAGTCAGTGGATCCATCTACTGATTCATCAGGATACTTAATCTTCCTTATAATGCTTCCTTGCTGACCAGCTTTATGGAAATCCCTATATCATTTCTACAAAACCATAAACGACACCTGGTTAATTGACCATTGTATCACCCCGCAGCTCCACTGGAGCCAACCTTATCTAAGCCCCATGAAGAATCTATAGAGTATCGTCAAGAGGAAGATGAAAGACAGCAGAGTCAGCAATGCAGAACAGAAGGATAGCATTAAAGCAACAGTGGCCTCCAAATCATCTCAGAGAAACCACAAACAGAACATCTCCATGCCACGCCGGCCTAATGTAGTAAGTAACGCAAAAGAAGCCCCATCCAAACAGAGTGAATATACTGTGCTTTAGATGGACGCACTATTCAGTAGGCTGCCATTCTCTGTGTTAACATCACCAAATCTTCAAATCAACTGTACATGGATCTAAGTGGGTCTTGAGGCCCACAAAATATTGAAAAATGTCCTTTGTACACATTCTTTAATAATGGTGTACACATCTGCAGGTTTTTCAGCCAGAAACTGAACAAATAAGCATGTTGTGGCAAGAGAAATCAATTCTTAAGTTATTCAAGCGTAAATGAATGCAAAAACTAAAAGTAATAAGATAGGGAAAAACATCACTTCCAAACTCATCCAGACCTATAAATCATCAAAAGTCATTCAAACACATCTCAGTATTCTAGAGACTGCAGTGATCCTGAATCACTGATCTAGCTAATAGCTAATAAATACAGTAATTTAACACTGCTTAACTATCAGTGAGTACCGTGAACAAAGAGGCGGAATTTTTGAAAATACTCCGGTAAGGAAAGAGGGATTTCTTCCATCACATTGGATAGAAAATACAAAGAATACAGCAAAAGAAACTGAAGGATAAACCCCTTCCATAAATCTCTGCAGTGGAACTAGTGAAAGAATAATCAATAACAACAAAAAAATCAAGCCAGGCAACTTTTAGATACTATGAAAGAGATGAATGCTTGAAGAGCCACTAAAGACATTATACATAATATATAAGCTAGCTCCACAGTAGGTGTGTCTCTTACGTTCTTGAAGCCACGGTAGAGGATTTGTAGCTCCTTCCTAGAGAACCGTGTCTGTGCCTCGAGCTGCTCCAGGCCCTCAGGGCGATGACGGACTGCAGAGAGCTCCAGCTCATCTTCTACGCTGTCTGAACAGAAGAAGCAACAGAAAGTCAAACTAGATCAAATTCTGACTGGAATGCATTTCAAAAGTATTAATAAAACTTCAACTTACTATATATATATATATATATATATATATATATATATATATATATATATATTAGGGATGGGACGATTTATGAAAACCGTCAGAATCGTTCGGTTCGACTGTCTCGGTTCGGTTCGCGTGTGTTTCGTTCGGTTCATGCGCTGCTCCTTTTTCTCATAGAGGAAGCGATTACACTCCAGAGCAGAAGGTGGCGGTACTGCGACCAAAGCCAACCGCCAGTAGTAAAAAAGAAGAAGAAGAAGCGTAGCAGCTTAGCTGGGTGTAGCAGAAAAAAATCAGTTGTGGAGAATAGGGGGTTTTCATGTGACGTCGCGCTCACGTGACTACTCAGCGCGTCCGCCATATTGGGTGGCAGCCTTAGGCAGTATTGACAGTGAAAAATGGTGAAATCGTGTGTAATTGTTGGTTGCACGGCCCGTGGAGGTGGAGATCAACGCTCTTTCTATCGCATACCAGCCGTAATCGTGAATCAATGTGAAAAAACAAAACAGCTATCTGAACAACGCCGTCACCTATGGCTGACACGGATATCCAGGTCCGATTTGGACGGTGTTAAGCTGGAACACGCCAGAGTCTGCAGTGCTCACTTTGTCACAGGTAATTAACGGTCAAGCATTTAAAACATGTAAGAATATATTAATAATAGGGCTTGGGCGTCATGACGTATTACTTTCCGTGGCCGCAATGTTGACCGTCTCCGCCGCCGCTACTCAGACTACTGCCTATGACCACCGCGTACTGGACTCCCTCTCTCTGCCGTGTTTTAATTTGATTAATTTCACCTTAACTTGATTTCAACCAGCGGGAAAAGGCTCAAATATGTGAGAAACCCGGAGGGTTTAGGGAGGTTTGGCAGTTAACGTTACTAACCAAACCTTTGAAACACATAGCAGCTAGTTAAAAGTACATTACATGCCTGAGTGGTTGTTAGCACTAACGGTTAGCACTGTTTGCTGGCTTTATGAGCTGCAGCTCCTGAACCCATCCATTCGTAAACTGCACATGAGACTCCAAGGACTTGTAGCTTTGGAACTGTTCGCGCACCGCCGGCCGTTAGCCACCTAGCATAGCGAGCCCTGCGTCGGATTGTTTACATTTTTACCACATTATTAAAACTCACCCGTTCACGTATGATGGCGATTTCCTTCATGTACATCACTTCGACATCTCGTACCCAACCAGATGTGAACTGGTTGTGAGCCTCTAGACCCTTGTACGCTCTCATTTCCTCCAGAGTGTGCAGAGGGTTTTCACTGAACACCAGGTAATGAACTATGTTACCGTGCTCTACATTTGGCCAATCATCTGGATTAGTGCTAAACAAGGCACCGTGGAGGGCATAGGGGTCCATATGGTCGATCACGGAACATTTCCTCAGATATGTTCCATGATCTGGTGGCTCTAGCGTGCTGGCGTACTTATCTATTCGCGACATGATATATTTAATATACGATAATATGCCACCCAAGATGGCGGACCGGGAGCTGGCCAGTGACGTCACTGAAAACCCCCTATTGTGTCGGACTGGCGAGTGGGAAAGAACAGGAGTTGGAAGACGCGCCAGCAGCACTTTATAGGTCTGCTGTATGGGAGCGCTTTGCATTTAGAGTGACCTACGATGACGGCGGAAAGAAAGTTGTGGATAAAAGTGCAACAGTGTGCAAGCATTGTGCAACACGTTTTATGCTAACAGCAACATGTCATGCTAACCCCGACTCCGTCAGCAACCCCCGCTCCGCCCCGCTGCGCTCCAGACCGGCTGCTCAAAGCAAAGCCTACAGCCCCCACTGTGGCTTCGTCTGCTCCCCTCTGAGTTCCTTGGAGATGGTAGAGAGCATGTAACCTGACAACAGCCAGATGCATGTCTCGCTCCGGAGCGAGACATGCATCTGGCTGTTGTCAGGTTACAGAGCATGCACCAGATTATTAAATTCAAAGCAGCAAAACATACGGAAATGATCCAGGGTTTCCGCGGACCATTTAAAATAATTACAATCCATTATTGTTTGGGGGATTTTTTCATTAATTTCATAATTTTTTATGGGATTTCGGTGTAATCAACATGTATCGAATCGAACAGAAAACCGTGACCAGAAACCATGAATCGAACCGAACCGTGGATTTTGTGAACCGTTCCACCCCTAATATATATATATATAAAGTAGTGTTTTTTTTAAACACTTGAGGCCCAAAAACTGTAAAACAAATTTACAGCACTTGCCCAGATTTTATTCATAAAGCATTTAGAGAATTACTTAAATTTTACAATAATAAAATATCAATTTTATATGCTAAGATAAAATTAGCTCTGTGGTTGTTACAGTATGGAGAAAGTGTAAGAAATAAAACAAAAAAGCTATTAAAATCAATGGAATGTAAGGTATTATAGCCTTACAAATTTTGAATATTGATGATAAATATTTGGCCATAAAAACATAGCAGTCTGATAAAATACCTCCTGTTATACCTGATTATACTAGGTCTCTCTTTTAGCCTTTCATACAAATCAAACAAGAAACAAATATGAGATCAGAAGTAATTAGAGTCGTTGAGCCCCCAGTACACAAGTCAGCATGGCAGAGAGCCTCCGGATAAGAGCGCTCAGTAATAAACCCTGTGGAGTGCTTTAATGGGCTTATTATGATGGCAAACGCTGTCTGGGCACTGTCACTGCACTAGAGGTGTCCTAGCAGTGCTGCGTTCCACTTTCATGCACCTGAAGTGTCACACACAGTCTAAGTGCCTCATTAGGATCAAGAAGTTTTACTTCACCCGACAACTTGAAAGCCAAATATTCCAGCAAACCACTTTTCACCTGTTGTTGATAAGCAAACTCTCTGCACTTACAGGTTACTGTATGTCTTTCCTAAATCTAGTTAAGACTGGATGAAATGAAAAAGATGAAACATGTGAAACATTCTTTACCTTTTTGCCAAAAATATCAGCACATTTTGTCCTCTGTGAACTGGTAAAAGCCAGATATCTAAAGCCTAAACTTGCCACAATAAAAAAAATAAATAAAGAACAACAACATCATAATTATAATAAAGAGAGCCAGTTGCTTTGATTGCAGGCAGATAGCTTTTTACTGTTGGAGTAAGGAAAGAGCCTCATGAGTACAGCCTTTGCTTGTGGGGAAGCTGAGGGTAACCTGGGATATTCAACATAATCGCTGGTGGTCTCCTACAGAAAGCTGGGTATGCAGGAGATGGGGGATTCATTCGAGCTCTACACTCTGCCTCTTTTTTTATCAGGACAACAACTAGGGATGGGAATCGAAAACCAGTTCCTGTTCAGAACCGGTTCTGTGTGTTCCAATTCCATGGCACCGTTTGGCAGCTCGCTTAACGTTGCTCTTATCGATTCCAGACAGACATCTGATTGTTTCACATGTTCCTGAGCTATCCATTCTCAATCTGCAGCTTATTCTTAAGTTCCTTTCATGTGGATCCAACTACAAGTTTTATTTCATGAGGTACACACTCTCTGCTTTTAGGACTAAAACTTTCCCTTTCAATGAAACGTAATGTTAAAATTAACCAGAGCTATCTCTCTAGTTATGCTACTATAGGCTTAGTCCGCTGGAGGACATAGGAACCAATTTTCGTCATTCTGTTTCATTCTACTTCTATTCTCCAATTCTGCAATACATGCGAGTTCAATCGTAAACTTTTTGTTAGTCGAACTATTTCTTGCTTCCTTAGCAGTAGCTTCATGGTCTGGTGATCTGTTTGGCAGTGACCCCATCCAGGAGGGTGGCATCAGCTGGGGTGCTGCAGTCAACAACTTTAATCATGGACAATAAATTTGGACCAACTTTCAGGTACTTACTGTCCTGTTTCTCTTCTAGACATAGCTACAGGTTCAGTTTTGACCATGAATCTTGGGGATTTGGTATTTCCATTACCAATTTTGTCAGGGTCACAGCATAACCAGCTTCCTGGTCTATAGCCATAAAACAGCCTGCACAGCATCATCTTCCCAATTAGCCAAGAAACCTGACTTAAAACATAAAAATCGTGTTAAAACATTAAACCTCACAATCAGTCAGGGTAAACTGTAAGGGCTTTGTTTCCTCTTTTTTTGTGTGAAAACAGGCTCAGAGCTCATTTGCCTGTACTTTCCTTGTCAGAGTCACATATTGAGCTAGATTGATATTACAAATATAGAAAGTATTAATGGATCAGTTGTTTTATGCTACTCTGCCTGTCTGCTTCAGCCAGCCTCGGCAGAAGACCGCTCACACTAAGACTGGTTCTGCTGGAGGTTACATTTTGTTAAAAGAGAGTTTTTCTTCTCCAGTGTTGCTGCATGCATGCTTGTTGTGATAGATGTCTCTAGAGTCAACAACACAATGTCTGCAAATGTCTACTGGTGCACCATTATCTTCCAGGAGCTGCATATCAATGACTCGATATAATCAGAAAGCTCTCCTTAGATAGAAAACCCCTAACCAATCTGTTCATATGTTTGATTAACTTGTCTCTTTAGATGAATTGGCGTTAAATAAACAAACTGAGCAAAATTAAATTGAACTAAAAACAGATAATTGAATACTCGGATAGTTAATACAAATAAGACTCTAAGCCGAAAAGTAAACATCTCATGGTCAACAGTTCACTTTGTGTTTAAGTAACTCTGTATAAAAGTGAACAGTCCTTTATCAAATCCTACTCTAGGCTATTCTTAAACATTTAGTGTGAGTCTTATGGCAGCTGTGGGTGCTCAGATAAGACCTCAGGTCAACCATCAAATGATTAGTAACGACAGAACGAAAGGTCATAGCATGTTTGTAACTACAACAGGAGTGCTGATAAAACTCTACAAATCTGTGCTATAAAGGGACAAATTATCTCACAGTGTAAATGCAATGGAAATTGTATCATAAATCTGCAGTCTGGCCTGCCAACATTATTA